AAAATATATATTTTTTTTTATTATTTTTAAAAATTTCTTAAGAATTTTATATGATATTATATTATTTTATTAATTTTATTTCTCTAAAATTTATTATATAATTTTTAGATTTAATTAGTATTCACTATAAGATTATTTAAGGTTTATTTGAAGTTGAATATAGTATGATAAGATTGTTTAGATTTTTTAAGATTGCCAAGGTTTTTCTTAATATCCTATTCATTATTATTTTTGAATTTTAATTCTTAATTTAAAATAAGATGATATCCTTCTAAAACCTATTTTATTTCTAGGCTAATTTTCTTATAACACAACAAAGTCTTTGATTTAACTTTTATAATTGAATATGGATTGTTAATAAGAAATTATTATGCCAATTAGACCATTTCAATCAAGTATTTCTTATTATTGATGTTGAAAGAAAGAACTACTTGAATCAAGAAGATGTTGAAGAATACTTGTGGCCAATTCATAGTATTTGTCATCAAAGTAAAACGTGCCTATGAAAGACATTTTCATGTAATATAAAAATTAGCTTGAGAATATATTAAATATTTAGCTATTGAAGGATTTCACCTTACCTTGAAGTTGGATTTACAATCCAAAGAAACAATGCATTAGGTGTTTAGAAATAAATTCTTGACAATCTTAAAGAACCTATAAAAAACTTCTTGCATAGTAATTAACTTCAAATGAACTTTAAAACATTCTTAAAAAATTATAAAGAAATTATATATTTTTAAAATATAATTCTAATTAAATACTAATAGAACCTTTATCAAATCCTAATAAAACTTTTATCTATTATTATTTAATTATAATTCTATTTTAATTAAATCTTAATAAAATCTTAATATTTTAATTAAATCTTAATCAAAACTTAATATAATTTTTTATTGAATTCTCATTTAATTCTAATCAAATTTTTATTAAATTCTCATTTAATTCTAATAAAATTTTAATAAAATTCTAATAAAATCATTATCAAATCCAAAATAAAGTTTAATTAAATTTTAATAAATTTAATTGAAATTCTAAATAAATTCTATAAAAAATTTCAAACCTCAATAATGATTATTATAACTACTAATCTTTATTCAAATTTCTCAAATATATCAATTTACTACTTGAAAACAAGCACACAAAGTTTGAAGAGTGTCAAACTTATATATTAAAAAAAAATGCTCCTAATTAACTTAGTTGTAAATTATCTTCTTTATCTATACTCAATGTAGACCTTCCAACGTCAATATCTTCTACTTGAACTATTAATATGTTTTCAAAATTTAAATAAAGGTGAAATTCTTTATTAAAGATTAGCATAAAAAATAATTTTCTTAATATAATTAATGAATTGCTCAAAATTATAGAAACCTGCACTGACCTTTAAAATCCAATTTTAAAAATCTTAATTCACTTGAATCTAATAACTTAGGATCTAACTATTCAATTAAGCTCAATGTTAAATTATACATATAGTATAATTAAATCTACAAATTTATAAAAATTTACATGTAGATCTACTATATAATTTATAAAATCTACTATTTTTTTTTTTCAAAAAAAGTATAATCACCTTAAATAATCCTTATTATGAAAAGATTTCATTAAGTCATTATTTATTGAAATCCCTCGAAATCAATGTTTATAAAAATACTATCTAATTTTCTCTGATTTAAAAATTTTTAATCAACAAATAGATTCGACATTTTCTATTGTTGTCCAATTTTCTCCTTCAAGGTCTAGTTTCAACTTTACTTTGTAATTGGTCCTCTTTCGATATAAGTCTTAAGTTTTTTTGAATAATTATTTTTGAAAGATATTCTTTACCTATATCTAAAAATCACTATAAAAATATTTTTACTAACCTACTAAATTATGTCTTATTTAAGATTGTACAAAATAAGTAGAAGTTTATTTTATTAAAAGATAGCATTAGCACTAAATTATTTTATTACCTTTCTAAATTATATCTATATTTTTAAGATGATTTTCTACTATATTTTGAAATAAGCTTTTCTGAAATATAATCTTTTTTCTTTTATACAATAACTATGTTACAATACAACAATGTCTTAAAGTAATTTTTGAATGATGATTTTGTAACAAAGATATAAAAATTTAAGCTTCGTCTATTGTAGAAGACGTTGTTCAACATCATTGGTTTCAAAAACCATTAAATCTTTTAATTTGTCTAAGATAATTTAAAGATATGGCAAATACTACATGACACATCTTTGACTTTCTTTGCCTTTCATCATGTTCAACTCTATCTCTTTTTGTGGTATTTGGAGCTATAGAAAGAAGTAATATTAGGGATATATAATGCAAGAAGATTTTAAAAACTTCTAAAAGGTTCTATTAGGCCTTAGAAGGTTCTAAAAGATTCCTAATAATTCCAAAAAGTCTTTAATAAATTCTAATAGATTTTGAAAAGCTTTCAAAAGGTCTTAGAAGGTTTAAAGAAATCTTAGATCATTATAGAAGGTTCTTTAAGGCTTACTTTACCTCCAAACATTAAGAAATTATTTTCAAGTTTACTTGCATCTAATGTATATATATATATATATATATAAGAATCAAGGCTTAAATGATCTTTGATCTTGATAGTGCAAATCCCTATAGGTTAGCTTTAGTCTTTTGGTCTTATTCTTGAGTCTTATTATAGCTCTTTGTTTGTGATATAAAATGAGTCTTTTTTATTTCATTTCTTTAAATCCTTAAAATCTTATCTTACCAAAGTAGTATGTTTGTAATATAATATGATATATATATATATATATATATATATATATATAAATAAATAAATTATATATATATATATATATATATAAGAAGATATTAAAGCAAGCTGAATTTTTACTAAAGTCATAAAGTGACCTAAATCCAACATAGATGAAGAATAATTGTACTTTCATCCCTATTCTCATGTTGTATCCATTCTCAGGTGCTCAAATTCTCAACCTTTGTTCATGTTCTCAACTCTTCTCTCTTGTCCCAATTGGTTATAAAAGCATAAAATCAAATACTTCAAGGGATACTTTTATATTGCGATTACTTGCTATGATACTTTAGACAACAACTTGCCTTCCTTAGTCCAAATTGTCCAATTTCTCTTCTTCACATCCTTCCATAATGTCAAGATCTACAACATTGAATAAGCCATTATAGATTTGGGTCGTATAATTGGAGCCAAGTAGCCACTGGTAGTATCAACAATTGAAGTCGTAGGTCTAATTTTGTTATTTTTCAAAGCCTTTGCAATGCAAAAATTGATTATCCTTACTTCCACAAAGGCATTGAATATGATGTTAGTCGGCTTCAAATCTTTGTAAATAGTGGGGGTTGAACAATTATAGTGAAGGTATTTCAATTCTTCAATAACATTGATAGCTGCATTGATTCAATGAGTCCAATTAAACTCTTTCACTACTTTGGCATCTCTTGATGGATATATCAATTTTCTCAATATTTTGTTGGGCATATACTCCATTCTTAGTGATATATGTCAAGATTGTAGTAGTAATCTATTACTTTGATAAGAGTCTAATATCAAATATGGCATAGAATTTTGAATCTATTTGCTAAATTTATCTATGTATTTTTAATCATTTCACTCTGCCAATTGTTAATCTTTTCATTGCCACTGCACTGCCATCCTAAAATTGTCCCCTATGCATTGTGCTCATGCTACCAATGTCAATATAATTTTGCTTGTTGAAATTTTATATAATTTGTGTGACATCCTCCAAGGAGAGATTCAACTCAATCTCTACAAAAACAACTATTGTGCTTTTGCTACTCTGCATGTTTCATAAGCATCTAGAGCAACCTAGATTTGCCATATTCAATAACTAAGTCAAGGGCAAGAAGGATGCATAGCATGTGGAGAGGCAATGGGATGGAGCAAGGTAAGAGGTGAGGGGTGTGGGAGAAAGGAGGTGTGAAGGAGATGATGGAAGAGACGATGTAGAAGAATTAGCAATAGAGAGGGTGTCACAATGCTTACAAAAGCTAAGAACATTTGAACGAACATTGAATTATGGTGTTGGAGTGAGGAGAATAAGACAAACATTGTTGTGGGAGTTTTTCCTTAAGAGTATTGGAGAGCCATTAAAGGTTGTGGATCTTGCAAGAATATTAGATCATAGCCAAAAGAAAAAGGGTTGAAAACATGGATGGAGGGTGAGAACATTAGAACTAGGGGAATGGAAATGAAAGTGTAATGATTCTTCATTCAAGGTGGATTGATTTAGAAAACATTTGAGTTGCTTTATCATTTTTGTATATGTATGTATATTCTTTGTCTTATTTCTTTATGTTATATTGTGAATCTCACCTATACATCTAAATTGGTGGATTTATCAAAATTTTAGTAAGCTTTTTGACAACACTTCATTTTCAAAATGAGGTCAAAATGCTTCTACAAACAAATGTTCTAATAAAAACAAATGAATAAATAAACATACTATATAACATAAAAAAACTAATTTATTTAATTTTAACTTTAACTTTTCACTCACCCATGTATAATTGATAACAGTACTAATGAGAAACATAATAAATTATAGTTTGATGTAAGATCTAAAATTGCAATGAACTTATCATTGCTCATTTATCAAGGAATCAAGAGTTTGATGAATACTATTTCTGTTGATATTTCCATGTTTAAATCAAAAGTTAATTTGTAAAGCATTTGCAGCTTTGGTGAAATCATTCACTTCCAAAGTACAATCAAGGCAAACCAAAATCAACGTTCAAAGAATTGAAAAGATATTTCATGACAATTCAGAACGCCTACAAATTTTTGTTCTATTTACATAAATAGATAACCTTCTAACTTAGCAAACAATCAAATATCCACATGATCCGACACTGTCATGCTTCATTTCAATTCAGAATTGCAACCGCCATATTCATAAACAGGTCTCTAGTATCCACATACACTGTTAATAACATCAGTTTTACTTGCCAAAAGAATTTGAGGATATCGAAGAGAATAGAAAGTATAAAGGATAAATAATAATAATAAACCCAATTCCGAAATTTGCTGCGCATTTTGCATGGAATCTGAAGTCAATATTTAATCGCCAATTAAACGAATCAAAACGCTACAAGATCTTACGTCATTCTAGTTACAAGCTCTACAAAAAGTGTCCTACGATATCGACAGTAACAACTCCCATATACTGACAACAACTCCACTGCTGCAACTACGTACACCTTCATTAATTGGATCAACAAATAACATCCTGCTTAGACATGTTCAGTTTGCTGGTTCAGTGTATAATGCAGCTTCCCAAGTCTAACAAAGAAATGAGAACGAGGATCACCAACTGGGTTGTGCCGAGTGAGTGATCCACAAATTCAAGGATATCAAGGTAAGCCTTGCAAAGTTTTCTGGCAATTAAAAAGAACTAGACCAGCTGCCAACGAATAAAAAGGTATCAACGATTACAGGCTCAATTTCAGAAAAAAAATCCGTTTGCAAGCCTGGAGCCACTATCTGGTGTCGGCAGTCTACAGTTGCAGGCTACGATAGACTTCGTTGCTAGGCAGTAATGAGGTGGACTGGTCGCCACGATTGCAAGGGAAAGTTGTAACTAATACCTGAAAACAATTCGGTTACGAGTGAGGATGGGAAGGATAGAACAGGGCACTCAGAGAACCAATTTTGACAATGTGCTCCCCATCAGATTCATCGCTCGAGTAGCCAGGATCAGTTTCCTTCTTGTGCAAGAAGGGCTGGACAAGGTCCATCTTCCCTTGGCTGGCAACCTTATGCCGCGATGTCCACCATTTGTCGTTGCTGGGTCTGCCTTGCATGACCATTGACATGCGTTTGACGAGGTTGGAGCAGGATTGGTGGGTTCGGGACAGCACATTTCCAGGCCTCTCTTCTTCCCTCCAGCTCTCGCTATTCCCTTCGATCTGAACAGATCAGACAACAAGGAAGAACGACTTCAGAACATCTGTAAATGTTGCGGGTAAAAAAACAAATGCTTGTACCTATGTTTTTGGGAGTAGGAACTTATACCTGGGAGCCAAAGACACTAATTTCTAAGGCCTTAGCGGAGTATATATCAGCGGCGGATTGGTGACCATTAACTCGCGGTGTGTCATGCTCAATCAGGGAGCGTCGCAGCGAGGAATGGCAATCCTTGTGAGGAACGGCCAGGAACTGTCCTGATCCTTGCCACAAATCCATGTCAAAGAACAGGATCCGGGACCTTGCTTCAGCGTGGAAGACCGTGCCTTCCTTTAAACTATTGCGAGTAAAATCTGCGGCCAATACACGCTTTTTAAAAAACGGTCTTGACATGGTTCCAAATTACATAATATTCACTAGGAAGGGGAAGGCGCATTTACCACCGGAGCTAGGAAGCGGCACCTTGCGCATAAGCCCTGCAGGAGCGGTAATAATTGCGAAGCTACTCTCTGGTCTGACAAAGCCGTCCAGCAACACCCCAATTTTTTTGGGCTGAAGCTCAAAAACCTCGCCCCGAAGAAAGATCCGCATTGAGGAGCCTTCCATCATCAGCGCACGTATATCTTGTAATGTCGCCTTCTCGAATTCCTTAGCCAACACTACCTTGGCAATAGCCAAAGCACTCTCCTGTACAAGGCACGGATAACATTCATCGAAGTGCAAACCAAAAACAATATAGATAACACCACAAACAAGTGAGGACATGTGAAAAGATTCAGTGAAAATAGCAGATCTTCGACCATAACCTGCCAAAGAAAATCCTCAAGTTCTGGGTGCTCCTTTTGCACTGACAAGATTTTGGAGCGCTCGATAAAGAAGCAATGAACCACCGAACGTGTGACAATGTCACACAAATAAGGCCTGCCAGTCAAGGCCTCAAATAAGCCAAGCGTGCTTCCAAGAGAGAATGTAGGTTGGTGTAATTGCTGTCCATTGGTTGCCTTACTGTTACACTGTAATTGTTGCATATGCCAGTGCATGAATATCAGGGTTAAGTATCAGGAACGATACGAAAAATGACTTCCAAGAAAAAAAAAAAAAAAAAAAAAAAAAAAAAAAAAAAAAAAAAAACCAAACAAACAAACAAACAAACAAACAAAACAAAACAAAACAAAACAAAACAAACTAACAAAAAAAAAACAAAACGTACACAATTGAGGAACACAACCTGAACTACGCCATTTGCAATCAACCAGATTCCATCAGGTTTCTTGTCCTCCTCGTAGATTATGGTACTCTGCACCATCATAAACTCTTTTGCCACGTCGAGAAGTGGCCTTTGGACAGAGACTGGCAGTGCTCCTATGAAAGGCTGGTTATGCAGTGTCTCCCATACTGTTGGCATTTCAACAATAGGTGGATTTCGCAACAGCTTCTTCAAGTCGATCTAAGTTTAACCAAAGCAATTCATATGTTCAGCACTCATTAACCACACAACTCAATGAAATAGAACAGAAACATATCAAGAGTCAGAAACGTGTTAAAACTAAAACCTGGACGGCATCATGTAGTTGAAGCCTCTCCTTGCTTTCGAGAAGTCCGGCATTTCCTAGACTTCTCACATACTCAGTTAAATGTACCAATACAGCATGAGTTACTTGCTTTGTCTTCACAGCCCGCAACACCTGTATGCAATTGGTCAACGGTAAGAGTCACTTGTTATGAATTTTGGTGGCAGAACTTCTATTTCCCCAGTGCTGAAGCGTAGATTTTTTCATGAGGCCTTTCTTTTCTAAAAAAGACAAACGAAAAAGAATAAAAGCTAACGCAAAGCAACGGGACAAAAACAAAAAAAAACAAAAAACAAAAAAAAAAAACAAAAAAAAAACAATACAAATAAATAAATATAAAAATAGTGGGAGTTTCAGAATGCTGAGCATATATCACCTGAGGAAATGCAAGGCGGATATCATCAAGAAATTGACGAGCCTCCTGTCCTTGAGCCTCGCTCTCATGAATGACAGCTTCTGCAACGAAACTTTCACCTGCACACGTAGCAAGAATTCGAATAATCACGCATGGATGTTCCGATGTTCTATAACCCAAGGCAATGGATTCAGGATGTTATTGGAAGCCAGAGATCTACCGATGAAGTCCCGGAGGTAGTTGCGAGTCATCCGATGCGCCCGTAAAAATGCAGCAGCTATGTAGCATGCGAACTCCAGTTGTGCTATCAAAAAGAAAGTGGATGCTCTTCGAGGGAGAAGTGATAAATACTCTAAATACCAGGAAAATCGCACGTGCGACCGCAGTCCTTCCCAATCCTGCAACCCACTGTAATTCTCTACCTGCACCAAATCCCCCATTCCACCAAAGTTTTAATAAACAGATATCTCAGGTCGTCAGTTAAAAGGACATGACACAAAAAGGCAACTCAATAAGTTACAAAGAGAAAGGCAATGTTTTAGTTTCCTGATCTAACGCCTCATGAATAGATTGTATGAGAATGCGAGCCGCTGTTTGAGTGATTCGTCCTTCTTCCAGCATGCTCCAGTATGCCGCTTGTACGCCTGCACAAAAAATATTATTGAAAGCTTAGGACTTACACACCGTGAACATTGCTCTTAAGAGTAACACATTTCTATAGCCTAAATTTTCTTCGGTTTCAAATGGGTGCAGAGCTAAATATCAGCGTGGTTAACTTGCCATTCAGAAAGCGTATCCGCGTGTCCTGCATTTGCTGCTCAACATATTCAATCCCTGAACCTTCAGAACCTGGAGGGCCGTGGGGGTGAGCAGGTTCGCCATCCTCCGGAAGGCTTGACAAACAGCTCAAATATTTGCGAATAGTGATCCAGTCAGCCGGCCCCAACTCCTCATCTTCTCCCATCTCTCCAAATGCCTCTAACGCATTACTATACATCTCATATTTGACGAACTCCAATATCCGTGTCTGCGCAAGTCCAAAAATTCACCATATTTCTAAAGCAAATAATTTGACAGCAACATGGATTGGAGTATTGAAAGATTGTATGAATCCAGCAGGGTAGAAGAGTAAACAAAATCGTGACCATAATGCTAGTACCTTAGTTTCAGTTGTATTATTCATGTTGAGGAAGCGAAATAGGAATTGTGTGGTAGATCCGTTAATGACGAGTGTAAGGAACACCACGCCACCTGTTAGGAACACGAACTGATACATTGGACGCATGTCAACACTTAAGAAGAGCCTGCTCTGAATCTCTTGTCATATCCTTAAAACTAATTTGAATAACAATCATGGCCTAAGCCAGAAAAGAAAAGAAAAGAAAAACAAGAAAACGTGGACCATTAAAATAGAATAGATCCTGTAAATTCAATATTTACATTCTGATATTGTCTATAATTCAAGACATGCATAAATATCATCAGACACACAAATGACATACCCGGGCCTCCGTCACTTTGGTGAAGTGAGTGTGGGCATCGTGCTGTCCAACTCGCTAAAAATGATCACAATCCAAGTTAGCAAGTTTAAAATCATTAGTGATTCCAGATATTGTAATTTCAACAGGGACATTCCAGATACTCATATGATCCTGATGCTAATACTTAACAAATGCCAAGAGTCAATGCAACAATGCACCCTCCAATCAACACAACTACATCAGATAAAAGCACTTACAGCAACTGATAAGGAAAGTGACAAAGCAACAGCGCCACGCAAACCAGCCCAAATAAGGATTGTGGCTTCCTTCCAGCTCATTCCATAACCAAAGAACTTCAAGCCAGGGTAAAGCAATCCCACTACAACAACTCGAGAAAACTGGACAAAGATGTAGAGCAGCAGCAGGTTACTCCAATCCCGCCCTGCAACCATGTGCAAGAATTAAAATATAAAATACCAAAGTCATACAAGAATAAAGTCACGCTGGGTCGTAGCCCCACTCAATACAAACCTTCAATTTTGTCGTGGCTTCTCAAGATGCTCTCTGCAATTACCGCCCCACTGCATAACACCACCATTGTAGATATTCAACTTAATTTTCTATCTGAATTCTCAATATCGGACTGATATAAAGTTAAGTGCTAGTCTTGGCAGAGCCACTGAAAATTGCCCACCTGAGTACGAATATGAGTGTATTCGCGATGTAGGAAATCAGTTCCCTGCCTCAACCAACATAGAAAACACTCAAATGTAAGCGCTGATCTAACAGCAACTGTAGCTGCATATAGTTCCGAATATTAATGGCAGAAGCAAAAGTCATATTATTCCAACAGAGTAGGGACTTGCATACCAAAAATGAAACATACTTCGTTCACTCTCCCCTGTGAAGGCTGTCCTTGCAAATGCTGCAAAGAATCTACACAAGAAAGTAGCCATGATAAATTTCCGCCACTCAAGTTATGCAGATAAACAGATGGGGTTGATAAACAATTATAATGACTTCAAAAATATTACATTGATTCGAACTATCGCTGGTACTTGTGACGTAACTGATGAAATCAGAGAGAGGACTTACATGCCTACAGTCATGACAGTCAATACCCCAGAGACATGAGCCTTTTCTTCAGCCTAATTGTTACACCCAATGGTCATGACGAAACAAATTTCCAAATCAGTATTTTAGTGGACTTTCCCTTACTCCAGTTCAAACCTGAAAGACTAGCAGTCGTATCGAGAATGTAAAAAGATCTATGAGGGTTGGGCAATCAACCATCAAAAGACTTAGAGCAGAACTCATTACCATAAAGAATGCCAAGTAGCTCGCTGTGAATGTGAGAGTAATCTCAATGATGGTATCGTTGAAAACCAGTCCCACCCAACACACACAAACGATCCCGAAAAGGAGTCCCAAGCCCACCCTGTAAGAAGGTTTGGAGCCCTAAATCAATAAGTAGAGGACCTCGGTAGTTAAACCATCAATGCAAATCTTCCAAAAGCAGTATTCATGATTTTCCAGTAAACAAATAAAGGCAATCAATGTACTCAGATAGGGTTTCAAACATCACTTACGCTCCCAATCCAACCCTGCAGAGAAATGATATGACATCACCAGAACTAAACTTCTGTCCCAGTACTATTTGTAAAAACAGATGGAATACCACGATTACAGTCCTGGTATTCAGAGAAACTTCACAACATTAGTATCATCTAGTCACAACCCCCACCATAATCACGTTAAAAAAAAACTTAAATAAAGGCTTAAATTAATCAAGAAGTCAAATATTGCTTCATTAGACAAGCCACATACATGCTCTCTTACCCATCATTCATCAGAGATTCGCCTTCAATGAGAGTGCTCAACTTCTTGCTGGCACCTAGTTCTTTCAGCAGTGCCACCACTGCCACTGGATCTGTGGCACTGAGCAAGCCTCCTAGCAAAAACCCTGTGCTCCAGTTCCAATGATATGGCAAAATTTTCTGTATCATAATTACCGAAACGTAAAACCCTTAGTCTAATAAGGTTAGGATTGTTTTTTGTTTTTTGTTTTGTTTTGTTTTGTTTTTAAGTATTCCTGAAAAAACCTTTAAAACGTACTATTCTAAAAATCTAGGATGTAGACTCCAACCATAAACTTTCACTTCAAAAAGTATAATGCACAAGACGTAGCCGCAGCAGAATAATAAGAGAATGTGATTCAAGAGGGAATGATGGGTGCTTAAATTCTCACAACCAATACGACACCGAGAAAGATGGTTGATATTACGACTCCTGGAGCGGCAAGAAGCAACATTTGCATAAAACCTCTCTATCCAACCCCACCCAATTCAATTCAACAACAAAAACAGTGTAAGTTGGACGCTGTAGCTACAACACCCTCCTCAAATAAAAATGGATTAAAAACCTCAATTTTTCATCCTAGGGTTTTTTCACAATCCTCTTGCAAGTTGATCTGCTACCTCAAACAAGATAGCAACATCCTGTCTGCATAAGGACAATGGATGAATAAAATTATAATTTACTAACCTTTATCTGATGAAAATCCATGGCAAAGGAGCTTTCAAAAAGAAGAGCTGGCAAAAACACGAACAAAATAAGGTTTGGATCAATGCTCGCCCCTGCAAAAAAGCAACATTTCTGTGAAATTTCTCCCAAGAACGATACAGTTGCAATTAAGATGACATATACAAATTATCAACTTTCTTACCCAGAAATTAACCCAGTCTCAAGCATCTTCGTAAAATACAAATTGCGGCAGTAATATGAGAACTCAAAAAGAGCCACCTGTGGAAATCAACAGAGAGGAGACAATACATACACATGCGAATGCTGTCACCAAGTACTCCCAAACCGTTCGTGGTCCCATATTCTGCAGAAAGAAGAGGCCTGAATAAATTGTTGGTTTTAAAGGCTTGAAACTATGAAATATCGCCAAGAGAGCATTTCAACCTGCATTTACAAAAATTACGTATATTTCAAGGGAGAGAAGCAATCCACCTAAGCTTCCGAGGCCAATTCCAAGGATAAGCAACGCCACAGTGTAGGGGATGCTAGTGTTCTTGAGGAGATGCCGGGACGCCATTCCCACGAACAAAGAGACCCCAACAAACAGAACAGCCACCTGTGGGCCAACTGCTTCAGTGTCTGCAGCCAAAGGATTGACCCCCATGCCTGGCTCTGTGGAGCTCTTCTGGACATTCATTGCAGATAGTTTTAGTCCCTTCAGCCGCTATCAACTTCTATTAGATTCTGGTTATTTTCCAGAACCGTAAGGTGGTTGAATGAGCCACCACCCTAATTGAAGAGGGTCATCCCTGAGGTGAAGCCACCAGTATCTGCATATAGGCTCCCTCCTGCATTTCCAGATAGCCCCTGTGAGTCACGCAATTGAGTGAGATTAAATAATTAAATAAATAAAAATCAGCGTGGAATGTGGTGATAAAAGGCGAAATGCGAGTTGTCAGACAAGGGACCAAAACCATAGTTGCAGTTTGGGGATTCTGAGGAGAACGACTGTCCGGAAATACAAGTTTGTGTAGCCGAGGGAAATGGATATTTACAATCTGGGAATTGCGATGCTCTCAGCAAACTGGGAGCTTGAGAAGGCGACTCCACATCACAATATACCTCAAGAGCATTCGTGGAACAGGCTGAGCTCATGGAGTTCACACAAAACCTTCACATGCAAAGCCTTCAGGCTGCGGGACATGCCTGCAATCTGGATCATCAATGTGCACACGAAAAGCTTCCCTTCTGTCAACTTTCAAGTAGCGAAACCAACACACGTTTGGTTTTCCGAAAGACTTTCTAAAAAAGCTGTAAGAAACAGAGGGCAAGCACTCAACAGAATTCTAACTTATTCCGGTAGAACATCCGATTGATCAAACTCCTAACCAAGTCCAACTTCTCCAACACTTAGAATAACCGGACACACCTCCAGAACGATCCCAAATGAAAAAGACCTTCTCCACTTTGATCGTTTTTTCCGGCACAAAAAAACTCCACAATCCCGCCCAAGAACTCGCTAAAAACAACCATTCGCAGATCCTAAGTACGTGCGCTCCAGGTGAGTATGAGCACACCCCCAAAACCAACAACAATCCTCCTTGCACCTTAACTCTCTAAGCCCAATCAACACTTCCATAAACTAAAAAACAAAAATACCCACAGCGAATCACATTAATATGATGAGCAATGAATTGGGTATTCCAGACGTCACAGCAAAACCACTCTTCGGCTATCAGCGAATGCTTCCTAACCATGCAATAGATCCAGTCCCTGCGAAAAACATTGCATTTATCCAAGCTTGAGTGCAACAGTTGCTATCCTTGACGACGGTAACGTGAAATTCAGCTGAGAACCCAACTACAAACTCTCATTTTTTTGTTTTTTTTCCTGCAACAGGTGCCGTTTATCTCCAGCTCAGATTACTTCATCAACCAGTTCACGGCATCGCCCATGTGTTGGTCTCATTTCGACACTGACGGGTGTTCAACACACTTCTGTATATTAAACAAAAACCAAAACATTCTAGTTCTATTGTGTCAAAATAGAATTCCAAATTAATTTTCTATAATTTATTGGAAAAATCATATTCAAGGTGACACAATAGAACTAAAATCTTAATTGTGTCAAAATTACTTTAAATTCTATTTTTTAATATTTTACTATCTCTCTCTCTATATATATAATCTTACACTTATTATTATGATAGTTATAACTAATATGTAAGAAGCCAGAATTGAAATTATAACGAAAAAATAATTTGGTTCACTTTAAGACCTTTTATCTCAGTGTGCTAATACAATGAGTTGAAGGTTCTGAAGGACAACTTTTCTTCACCAATATATTTCTATTCACAACATAAAAAAATTTAAAAATATATAATTTGACTTTTTGTATCGTATTATAGGATATGATACTTCAAAGATTGATTATGTATGTATTTTTTATATAAAAAATACTATGCATATTTTTAATAATTAAATTCTATGTCAAATTTTCAAATTAAATCTTTTCAAATTAAATCTAAAGATAATGAAATACTTAAAACAGTTAATGATCTATTTTTAATTATGTAAAGTAGGTTCTATTCAAAATTCTATATTGTTTGTATGTTTTATATAATTTTTTTTTATGAAAATAAAAGTAGAATTAAAATTTTATTTAATTAACTATATATATATATATATATATATATATAGATATGTAATTTAAATTCCTAAGTTATAAAATCAAATATATAAAATAATTCATGTGTTTTATGCTACTCTACTTGAGTAATTTATTCAAAAAATAACTATTTAAAAATGATAAAGAAAACTATACTTTAAAACAAAATCTTACAAAACTTTATAGTGATTTTTATAAAAAAATGTAATAATTTAATTTTAGTTTTTTTAGTTTTTAGTTTTTTTTTTTTTTTTTTTTTTTTTTTTATAGTTTCTTGAAAATTTCTGGTAAAATAATATTACAACCTATTTTATATATATTCACATACATAAAAAAATCTACTATTTATATTTAGATTTATTAGATCTTTGGATTATAAATCTGTAACAATTTATATTTGAACACTTAAAAATCTGATAAGTAAATTTAATTATATACTAACTACAAGCATCTCTACAATATAAGTTTGTCTTGTCTTTTATGATATACTTTTAGATAATTAGAAAACATTCAGTGTATCTAAAAAATGATAATATCCTCATCGTATTCTATAGAATGTTATTTTAGAGTATTGTTTTGGAAGTGTTAATGCTTTTAATTTTAATATATATATATATATATATATATTAAAAACAATTTGCAATAATTTGCATAATATACCATAATATATCATAATATAAATCATTTGTAATTTTTATCAATAAGTTTTAAAATAGTTGGAGGCAAGGGAGATCCTATAAAAAAGGAGCTTATTCAAATTTTTAATTGAATATCAGAAAATAAATTAAAGAACAAGCTAGAGAAAAGTTTTTAAAGAAAAAACTTTTCAATAAAAAGCCTACATGTGCACAACTTTCTTAGAGAAGTAGTAGGTAGGATACTCTAAAGTGCCCCATTCTTCTACCTTGTCTTATTTCATGCAATAAAAAATAAAAAATAAATATATATTTTTTTTCTATAGCATTCAACAATTCCTTAGATATATGCCCTACCATTATCCACCTCATTCACAATTCTTTCTACTTTGTGGGGATCCTCTTTGATATCTTTCTTCTACTTTATTGCTTATAGACCTTTCTATATAACCATGATATTGTTGGATTTTTTCTTAAAGTTTTATGTGTAAGAACTATCTTAAGATTAAACTAATGATTTGGTTGATCTATTACTATAAAAAGGTTAATTATAATAATCTTGATTAATCTTTAGATGAGAATTAATCAAGAAATTTGAGAAACATTGAAGCATAATTGCTTTTCTTAGGATCATTTCTATTGGTTTTTCTTGAACCTCAAAATTGTTACTCTTAAAACATTAGACATAGTCATTGAAATGTGTGTTTATTAAAGAAATTCAGTCAATAGAATACATAGGTGCGACCAATTATCAAAAAGGCTACTGAAATGATCACTGAACACACTTTCATTTAAACTTTTTAAAATCCTTTAAGCTCTCAAGATTTAACCTAAAATGGATAAATTCATTGTAAAGAGTGTTGGAAATTGCACAAAATAACTGCAAGAGAAACATGACAATTCTTGCATTGAGGCCGTATTAGGAATATTTCCACCAAGGAACTGTATGGCGTTTACAAAAGTGCGGCATACAGTGCAGGTACTTGCAGAGCCAGGTGCTGCCCAAGATGGGCAGGATCCAGGTCGTGGGGCACTAATCTAAAACTTGGGCAGTAACAAATCGATCTCATCATGTACATAATTGCATGAAATACTGTCATGTGATCGACCCACATTCACGGCATGGGGTCGAACTCTTGGAACTGTTCTTTGAACTGATCTGCCAAGGCAGTCTCTTCAGATACATCTAATTTGCATTGTTTCCAATCTCCTCTCTCCGGCGTTCCAAGTATTTTTGCTAACACCTGAGAAAGATGAAAAACAACAAAAAGTCAATGCAATAGTTACATGCTTCGCAGGCCATCCTCGATGCCCTTGTGTCCGACTCTGCGTGTACACGTGAATGAGATAGCTTCTGCCATTTTTAATCATGCTCTAATCAGTGTAGGCGATCATTGACTCAGTATTTCCATACCCCAAGCATACCAATGAGTGGCAAATCATTACGCAGGAAATAAATAAGCAGCTGAGAATTCACACGTAAAAAGACTGGATTATTTCTAATCTGACCTCTCGACCAAACTGCATTGGCAGCTTCTCCCCTTGCGGAAGCGGGTGAACCAGCAACGTGCCTTCATGAAGTTCTACAATAAAATAGTTTACGCCACCTCCCACTAGCTCTTTTAATCTCTGCTTTGCCTCATTATCATTATCTTCTGCAAAAAAGGGATTCTTAGAGATTTCATATTAAACACTCCAAAAAATTCAAGTATCTGCTTACAAAGGAACATCAGTTACAGCTGCGCCAGAATAGTACCAGACAGTCAGTTAAATCAAATTCGTTCAGCATAAAAAATTGTATGCAGTTAATTTTATAAATTATTGTTACAGAAATTTCTTTTAAATAATAAAATAAGAAGGCACATAGAGTGGAACAAATAACATGTCTTCTTCGATCCTTACCCTGATGAATAACTTCAAAACTAAAGCCTACTTCTTTTGCAGACGAAACAAATGAGCTCAGAGCAAGAGATGCCATGGACAATGGAATAGGAACAGCCTGCAGGAATACGGAAAATTTGTTCATTAGCAAGGCTAATACTTCATCAACCACATACTGAACAAGAAATTTTAAGGCGTCATTTGATGGCCTCATATTATATTCGTTTCAAGTCCTGATGTGCATCTCTATCATGACCTCTAACTTTATGCCAGTGATTTTCTAAAGACAATACAATGTCCACTAGAACCTCCCAAGCATTCCGAAGTAAAACTAATCAATACATTCTTCATAACAAAGCACATCTCTAGAATTTTTAGTGTTTCGGTTGTATTCCTAAAAAATTACTGCGAATAAAACACTTGGATAAAACATGAAATACACTATGTTTCTGAAAGGCATGTTCGCGTGCATCTGAGCATGGGTAAGTTGGAGATAAACTAAAAATACCTGAAGATGTGCATGAGTTCCGGCTCTTAATTGCAGGTACCGCTCAAAGAATATTGTGGCTTTCCCTTGCTTTTTAAAGCACTCCCTTATTGAATGCTTGTACTTATCTAGCTCGAGTTCAGCATCAGAAGGTAAGGACACTATTGAAGGTTGATGTTCGATTGGGAGAATCAACACATGACCAGGACAAAGAGGTCCTTTGGCAATGGCGCAATAGCAATGGTCTCCCACAGACACTACGAGATGTGTCTCAATATTTGGCGAAGAAAGACAAAACCAGCAGGCACTTGGGGGTGCGCGAGGAGGCCTTGGATCATCCAGACTATGACTAAACCTGTGAGCCAGAAAAAGATATTGTTACATTGGCGAGGTTCAAAATATTACTGCCAACCTCTACAATCACTGAGAAGTGTAGCTTCCATGTGAAAGTAAAACACAAATTAAAAGCTGGAAAAATTCTTCACATTAATGAAACAATTTCATCCAGATTGCCCTTACAATATATAAGACATTCAGGATCAACAACTTCAACAAGAAAAAAAGAAAATCGAGCCATTCAACCTTTTAACAACACCAGTCATGTTACCTGCATTCAGATCCTCTTTCGCACTGTCCCTTCCTGAAAAAGTCAAAGCAAGACCCTGGAGGTAACGCTTTTTCTGCAGGTCCCCAGTCTTCAAGAGAATGTTTGAAACGACAATCAGCACCCTTCTCACATCGTCCTTTGGTGACAAAATCGAAGCAGGCTCCCTTCGGTATGGGAACTCCATTGCCCAGGTCATGCTTGAACTTGCAAGTCTCTCCCCTTGAGCATGAGCCTTGCTTTACAAATTCAAAACAAACTCTATCACCACCATCGTTACGCTTCTGCCTCTTCCCCTGAGACGTGTCGTATCTCCAATGCTGAACATTCTCTTCATTGGCTTTATCCATCTGACTTACATCTCTTTTCTGAGTAGTGCCAGTTGTCGATTTGTTGTGAGCTCCCTTAATGTAAGGAGACGGAGTAGTGTTTGTAGGTCTTGCAGCCAAGTCAAGCGGAGACATCTCAGAAGCAGGAGTTGGAGCCAAGGCATGAGCGAATTTCTGCAATCAATCCCAAAACACACACACACACATCCGAGCAGCGAGTTAGTTGATCTTCAATCGGGAAAGGAATTAAATCAAAAAGCTATTATTTCCAGAAGTTATGTTTTCCACGGAGTCCAAGTATTAACCTGCTTCTTGTCATTCCCGACAGCTCCAACACCAATAAAGCGTGTAACGTGAGTAGAATCGGGGTTAATATATGGCTCGCGTGCATAAAAGACGCCCTCGGAACCTGCAAAGTGATAGCTGGTTGCATGCAAGAGATTCGAACCTTTTACGAAAACTGGCTAATTGAAAAAACACTTTATAAAAGTATAAATAGAAAATCTATGCACTGGCTCGGATGACAAACAAGATGTTCTAATTACTCAAGATTGGTAGCACCAGCGAAACCAGATCATATATACATTTGTCCAGTTTCATAGAGCGGATTTAAGAAAACAACACCTACGATTCCCATTGGGCTAACAAGCATAACAGCATTGGGTCGATCAATCGCTTTCAACTATGAAGATGACAAACATTCGGACAAACTTTTAGATGCATCGGTAGAGAATACATACCGAGGTTTTAACAGAGATGCAAGTTCCGCAGCGATGTCGCTACCCGTTGAAGCTAAATCGATCCCATTCGGATCAGAAGAGGAGTCAGCAGCATTGTGAACTCCTAGAGGCCACTCATTAGTGGTTCTTGTCAAGGCTACCCACGTTGCTACTCATGCAGTGAAGAGACGTTTCAAATTGATCATACCATCTAAAGAACGTAAAAATTGGTCGGAGTACAGAAACTGCTCACATCCAACGAAAATATCAACTCTACTGGAGAATGAAAAAAAGTCGTATCTTTCACAACCTGTATGAAAATTTTCACTACACAAGTGTTGAGATTCACAATTCAAGAATTCTAAAAGTTTAAGAGTCATAAGAGGATATGAAAGAAATATATCAGTTATTTCTTTGTCGTCTGCAATGGCACGCAGTGCATCCACGTCGTCCTCAAAGTGACCTCCTGATGCTTCAGCCCCTCTTGCATTCTGGTACACATCGGGTATGTACCTCCCTGACAAGTACGCTATTCTAAGTCCTGAAATTAACATGGAGGTTTCACTCAGCAAGCTGCACCCACTACGTGAATAGGTGCCGTCGCACCTCACAAATCAGAATTTTCTTTGTCATCCACACTTCGACGTTCTCGAACAACACCCACTAAGGTTTTTACAGCTCCATTACATCTCAGAAAGAAGGAAAATAAATGTATAAAACAAAACGAGAATCTCCGTCAGACTATTAATTACAGCTGATTGCATGCTGATCCTCGCACCATCTCACACCACCAAAATTCTAGCACTCTAACCCTTTCATCTCAAATCCACGCTTCGCACACTTATAAAGCACCGTCAATTGTCCTAGATCTCAGAAACCAAATTCATCCATGTTCCGATCCAAACCCCGTAAAAAGACCTAACCCGCAGTGATAAACCCTACATTCAGTACGCCCCTAAACCATACCTTTCAAATTAAGAATGCCGCTGCCTTTCAAGTAGAACAAGTTATCACAGACAGGGATACCGCCCATGGAGAAGCCCAAGTCCAATGCTGTCTTTCTAGCCGGCGCCAGAAGAGAATTGGCCCCCTCCCCATAGTCCCCGATGAAATAAGTGGGGAGAGGAACCGGCTTCTCCCCTGTAAAGTACCCTTCCATTCCTTCCACCCACCGTTCGTCTTCCGGGAAAAACTGTCCCACGCACAAAGCAGCATCGAATGGGCCATTGCTCTTGTTCACCTGGCAAAGGACGCACGGAATGAGAACAATCCATCACCGCGGCTATGACGAAACACTCACCATTCGCGCACACAAACGTCGACGTGACCAGACGTGGGACAACACAATGGCACCAACCGATTGCACGCGCTTGAAGAGAGCATCCAGGCGGCCGAGGACGTCCCCGAACACGAGAATCCGAGGCGCCTGCTTGCCGCCGTTCATGGTTGCAACGCCAGAAGCACAGGACAGAGAGAGCCTCGTTCTGATCCAGCACGTTCACGATCCAGGGAAAGCTATTGCGGTAGCATCCGCATCATCACCCGCACCTATACACCGCGAACTTGCTTTATAGTGGGACCGGCTGGGGCCAGTCCTCGTGGCGTCCGTTGCAACGCAAGCCTCCCCCCTTGACGGACGGAATATCTCCCCTCCCATATCCGTCTATCTTTCCGTCCATCTTTTATTCGTGCTGAGTTTGTTGTTTGATTGACTTCCATCCTCAAGCTTACGCATTCAGAGCATCTGATTGGATATAAGACAGATATTTACGAGTGGAATGCCATGTCAGCATATTGGTGTGACAGGTAGACACCCCAGAGTCATCGTCGTCGTGGCAGTCGGCAGTCGGCAGTCTTTGAGGCCACACTCTAACCCTAAATTTGTCCATGCAAAGGGGCAGTTAAGAGTGTGTCTGTGTTAGTCTGTGCTGGAAATGCTGACAACTCCGTGCGATTTAACGATTCTAGTATAATGAATGGCATCGTACCATTGCGGGCACCGGGTATTGATTCTGTCCAGTGTGGGACCGCCTTGGACATCCACCTTGGTTGCTTCTCCAGTTCTCAGAGCGGAAGGGGAGCTTCCGATCGTGGCGTGCGTGGACTTAGCAATCGTTGTCCACTCTTCGTCTCGCAGACTTCTACACTGCGAGCGAGGGAGGGGGACAGTGCTTCGAATACTGTGCTCCAGCTGTCGGGGAGCACGAGAGCCTGTGGAGGTTTCGATTACGTACCTAGAATTGTATCGTAGTTCAAGTCTCGATGGTAATGCTGCCCTGGTGAGTGTCGTCTTGTGAGGTGTGGATCGCTTTGACACAGGCTCCACTCTGAGCTCGATTACCAGCACTCTCCAAGCGCGGTGTTGGAGTCCTGGAGCTTCTTTTGGATCGGGTTTCGTGTTGGCGTGTAAGCCGGGTTTAGTGCGACTGGCACCGTGGAGTTTGATTTCTGCAGATTGAGGTTGCATTTGAGGTAGCGAGGTTGTATCTACGTCTGTTCTTCGAGAGCTCATTGTTCTGGGTAAAATATTGTTGGATTTTAGCCCTTGATTTGAGGTCGAATAATTTAAAACTAGGTTGAATGTAAGCATGAGTGGTGGCCTTTTCTAGAGATTTTCTTCTTCTTTTTCTGTTTTGGTCTTAGTGTTGTACAAGGACTTAAGAATTAGGCGTGTTAGAATTCGAGAATCTGATTGCGATCTATTTCTTTAAATCCGGGATCAATCTTTTAATGATTCAATTGCGAATATTAGTCGTGCATCCCTGGTTTTGAATTAGACAAAGAGATCTCAGGTTTCTGGAATTTTAATGCACACACTGGATAGAACAATTTTATATTCTTTGAGTTTATAAACAGTGGGCGACAATTTATAAATTGTATGTTCTGTTTGAGACTAGGAACGGTAACTGGCTTGTTTCTAGTTATTGATTATCGTACATAAAACTTCTGTCTTATTTTCGCAAACCTTGATAGTCTTGGAAAGCTGGCTTTGGTTGATTGCAACTTCTTCTGCTATTGCAGAACGTTTTACTAGTGCTGGCAATTGGAACAGACGGGTTTCGGAACCGATCTCCTTAAATATTTAGTCCTATCAGGATTTGGTTACATTAATGTCATTGATGTGCTCACAATCGACGTGTTCAACTTCAGTCGTCAATCTCATCTTAGGTGTGCACTCTCACCTCCTTTCTTATCGCTTTTTGTACCTACACGAAATGAATGCTGGGGGTATTTCTACTACAGACGCAGAATCGCGTACGTAGTAGTTACGTCGATGTGTTGTTCTGGACTAGAACTTGAAGTGTTGATGTACAGTTCTGAACTAGTACTGTGCTTGTGTGTATTTGAGGATAATTTAGATACTAACATTGCAAAGAGACTAGACCATAAAACGTGGTTCTTTTCGACTGAACAACTACCCATTTACTGTCTTATGCGTCAAGCTGTTAAGTGCGTGCAGTGTTCATCACGTTTGGTTCATTGAAAAGACGGCGCTTGTTGACAAGACAGTGCAATTGGTTTAATCAGTAGACGAATAAGCTACCGATCACGACAGAGAATATTGTGTTGCAACAAGTATCTCCACCATGATCCCTCGAGTATATATGTAGTCATTGTGCTGAATTTTTGAAGGTGAATGTAACGGTGCAGGTAATTGACATCTGATGCTCTTGCTGATGTGATTATGATGAACAACATGGAAAATTCGGGGGTGGGATCCGGTCCGGATCACCATAATTCTGAAGCGGTTCCAACCAACAGGTTTGGGACAAGGGAAAAGCCGTCTTCGTTACTGGAAGAGCCGATTCTAGAAGATCTATCTTCGTTTCGCGATGAATCGGGTTCGCAAGTGCCACCGTCTACTTCAGAAAAGCTGCTTTCAATTGCTGGAGAAATGATTCCAGAAGAATCACCGTCTATTTTGGAAGAGCCGTCTTCAACTGCTGAAGAACCGAATTCAGTGGAGCTGCCTTCGATTACAGAACTGCCGCGGAGGAGCCCAGAAAAGGAAAATTCGGTTTTAGGAATGCATACGATGGCAGAAATAGTACTCAATCAGGTTGATGAGCTCAATGGAGGTTTAGCATCTTTCAGGTCTCTTGATTTGGGACCAACCGAGCCAGGAGTTGTCGTCGGCATTAGGCCAGCACATTCTGTCGATAGCTCACATACTTTCTCAGCCCCGAAACACAATTTGCCATCGCTGAAGGAATTTACAAGTATGCTGAAAGTCTCTCCTGAGCTCATGAGTCTCGTTGATTCTGCGATCCGGGGGTCGGATAGAGCGTCTTTAGTGAAGTTGAAAAGGGTGATTGGAGGAGAGGAGGTTTTTGGTACTAGAGACGGTGATGGTGATGCAAAGCTTGCAAGGTATGTGGTTGACACATTGATCGCAAAGATGGGGGGTGCTGACGGCTTGGACAAAGCAGGTGGAGTCTCTACACCCAGGATGATGCTCAGCGCAGGTGCAGCTGTAGTGGCTGGTGAACTTCTTCCGTGGATTCCATGTGAAGACGACGACAAAACTATCGTGTCACCTAGAACCAGGATGGCAAAAGCATTATCATTGATTTTACAAGCCTGCACCAGAAATCGAGCAATGTGTTCCGCAGCTGGACTTTTACGAGTTCTCCTTGTAGCATACCAGCGAATCGTTATGGGAACAGTGGGACGCCGAAAAGGTTCAGAGAGCTGGGATACAGGGTCCCTTTTAGACGCGATTGAAGCTCTTGGATCTCACTGTCTTTCTGTGAAACATCTCCGAGAATGGCTCAATGCTGCTGGTAATATATCTTCAACTGGAAAGTCTACATCTTTAGATCTCTTGCACACTCTAGAGAGGACAATGTCTGGAGAAGAAACCCGCGGACCTGCTCATAGCTTCGAGTTTGATGGTGAAAGCTCAGGACTACTTAGTCCTGGGGAGAGCAAGTGGCCATTTTTGAATGGTTATGCATTTGCAACATGGCTGTACATTGAGTCATTCGCCGATACAGTAGACACTGCTGCTGCCGCTGCTGCTATTGCATCAGCTGCAGCTGCCAAGTCTGGAAATTCTTCCGCTATGTCAGCTGCCTCTGCGGTTAGCGCTCTTGCTAGTGAAGGGACAGCTCACATGCCAAGGTTCTTCAGTTTTCTTTCTGTGGACAATCTCGGAGTAGAAGCATATTTCCATGGTCAATTTTTAGTTGTAGAGAGCATTCATGGAAAAGGTAAGAAGGCTTCGCTATATTTCACACATGCGTTTAAGCCCAAACGTTGGTATTTTGTGGGTCTAGAGCACATGCACAAGAAGAGTTTACTTGGTAAAGCAGAAGATGAGATGAGACTCTATGTTGATGGACCTCTGTACGAGTCTCGTCCTTTGGTATTCCCGCGCATTTCTAGGGGTCTAAGTTTCTGCTGCATTGGCACAAATCCGTCCCGTGTCATAGTTGGGTTGCAGAAACGTCGTCGGCAGTGCCCACTATTTGCAGAGATGGGGCCAGTTTATATTTTCAAGGAGCCACTAGGTCAAAAGAAGATGTTACAGTTGGCCTTAAGAGGAGGCGATGCCTTGCCTACATTTGGAGCAGGGGCTGGAGCTCGTTGGCTTGCAAACAACGAACAGTCACCTACCACTGCTGAGGAAAGTGCAGCTCTTGATTTGGAGTTAGGTCCCAGGCTCCATCTTCTTTATCATCCAAAGCTATTGAATGGCCGATCTTGTCCGGATGCATCTCCCGCGGGGGCATCAGGTTTGTACAGATTTGTAGTTCATATGTAATTCCTTGAAGCTCGGATGCATGTGAATTTCTCATGTTACAATTCAGTTTTGTATGTAGGCAGTTTATGAGGATAATAATGATTTTGTTTTACTTTGTTTTTCATTTTTTCTTTCTCCCAGGTGCATGTAAGAAACCTGCAGAAGTCCTGGGACATATCTATATTGCTGCAAGGGTTAGGCCTACGGAGTCTGTCTGGGCTGTTGGAGAGGGAGGCCCGATGGCCTTGTTACCGTTGGCTGTAGGAGCAGTTGACAAGGATTCAATGCAGCCTGTTATCAAAGGAGAAGTGTCGTCTTCGTCTGCATTGCTGGCAGCCCCAATTTTAAGGATATTAGCTTTGGGACTTAAGTACACTGGAAGTGCGGAAGAGTTTGCAAGGATTCATGCAGATCGTTTGTTGGCGAATCTGTTGGGTTACCTTGTCCGCGTACCTGCTTTTGTAGGCCTTGAGAAGAAAGTGGATGAGCAAGCAAAGACAGAAGAAAGAGACGAGGAGCTTGTGGCAGCTGTCGTTTCTCTTTCCCAAGCACCTCAATGTCACATTTCTCTTAAAGTCCAGTTGTTCAGAAGTCTACTACTTGATCTTAAATTATGGGGCTCATGTTCTTATGGGTTGCAGAAGAAGCTTCTATCAACGCTTTCTGACATGGTCTACTCTGAAGCAGCTACCATGAGGGGTGCAAATGCTGTTCAGATGCTATTGGACGGTTGCCGCTGTTGTTACTGGTTGAATCCGGAACCGAACTCTTTGTTTACATTTTCTGTTGAGAAATCATCTCGGCATGCTGGAGAACTGAATGCTCTAGTGGATGAGCTGCTGGTGGTAGTAGAGCTATTAGTTGGATCCGCTCAAGGCAGGGCATTAAGTGATGATGTGTGCTCCCTGGTTCAGTTTGTGCTCGACTGCCCTCAACCCAATCAGGTTGGTTTTCCCCGTCTTACTTGATATTATGAAAATTTATATAGGAAAGTTGTGTTTCTCTTGGTTTTGCATTATATGGACTTTTCAGTAATCTCAGCATGGTGCACTCAATTACTTGGTCTATGAGTCCTTTAGAAGTGGGTCTATTAGTTTATTTATCGTGAATCAATGGGGATTTTCTCCCTTTTGGGTGACGTGGTGCCTGTGTTTATTTAGTTAACACGGTGTTTTGAATGAACTTGGCACTATTGATGTGGTTTCCACGGATGAAGGTGGTGGTTGCTAACTGGCAACTTGTCGATGGCAGGTCGCTCGAGTTTTGCATCTTATGTATAGATTGGTGGTTCAACCCAACTCCACGAAAGCAGCCACTTTCGCTGATACTTTCCTTGCGAATGGGGGTGTTGAGATGCTTTTTACTCTCTTACGAAGGGAGGCAGAGTCAGGAGAAGGATTGAGTAATAGGTCCACAAAAGATGCAGATCCAGAAATGAAAGGTCCTTGTGACGATGAGCAAATCACAAATGATCAGGACATTGTTGAAGTTCCTAGTGATGTCAACGCTGACTACGAGGTGATGAATTCAACCAGGAAGATGCAAGAGATCAGCATTTTCCCTAGTCCAGAGTCTGCTGGAACGTTTGACGGAACTATAGGTATCAGCGAGAATGACCTTCGGTTGTCTCTCTCGACAAAGACGGTTGGGTCTGTTGCACGAAGTCGCTCCGCTGCTCATAAGACATCCACTGTTGGAACATTAGGTGGCATTAGTTCATCGATAATTGCCGACAGTGTACGCAATAAATTCCGAAATATGGACTTTTCTGATGGTATCATGGTTGGTATTGTAACTCTTCTTGGTTCTCTGGTTTCTGGAGGCCACTTGAAGGTTATGAGATTCGGAATGGAAATTTCTCAGCCACCCCCCTCGTCCGCTGGTCCTGGGGTAAGCTCCTCGGGTGAAGGTACCACTGGAGTAGCTGCAGCAGCTGTCGTATGGCTTCTGTTTGCCTTGGAAAAGGCATTTCAATCTGCACCAAGAAAGCTTTTGACTGTCAATGTTTATGCTGCACTCTTGCCTGCTGTAATAAGATCTGAGGTGAGGACATTCTTCGCCTTGGCTCGAATTGCACCATCAATTTAAAGAGGGCGTTCCTCTTGGCATTAGTTTCTGCATTAGATATTTATATACCCAGGTGATATTGTCGATCATTAAGGAAAGGTAAAGGAACCGTAATTGAGACTGTTCAATCAAGGATCCTCAGATAACAGTGAAAGGTTGCTTATCCAAGAGCTTGTTTCAAATTTGCAGAAAGGACTCTTATTAGCAGACGACCGTCTTGCCTTTTATGATGCTGGACATCAATTTGAGAATATCCCCTTACTGCTAGTACTTTTGCGCTCACTTCCTTTGGCTCCCGTTCAATTGCAGCTTCGTGTACTCCAGGTGAACAATCCTATTCTTTGGTCTACATAGATTTGTGACATGCAAAATTTTCCAGGCCAATTTAAAATATATCTGCATTTGGCGAAGCTAGCAGTATATTTTCATCGTTTGCTCTGCTAACTCATGCGAGATTCGTCGTTGTTGATATACTTCTGTAATTACTAAAATTTCGAGGATCGTAATTGCAGGACATGCTGTTATTAGCATGCACTCATCCTGAGAACCGGAAATTGCTGACAACAATGCCTGAGTGGCCAGAGTGGCTTCTTGAGATACTGTTATCTAATTATGAGGTGAACTACAACATCCATTATTGCACGCTGACAGTTATCTCTTCCGTCGATGTTGGTAACTTGACCGAGGAAGTCTTGTTTGATGTTAAGTAGAAAAAGGCTATGATGAAGCAATAGTGCTGTGGTTGTTCCACGTACATGTAAATGTTGGATCACCACATCTAGTAACACTACTACTCTGTATTTCATTAGGCAACTGGAATGGGTTCCAGCGAGGGAAATGATAAATCCGAAGAGACAGAGGATCTTGTTTACAGTTTTCTCACTATCATGTTGGAGCACTCATTGCGCCTGAAGGATGGTTGGAAAGTAAGTCGATAACTTTGGCGTTTCAGTTTCAGTTTCATTGTCATGGACCATTCTTATGTAGAAATTCCTTCAGCCTTTGTCTGTTCTTGCTGTGTTTGGTGATGTGATGTTGAGGACAGCATTAAATTATTTCTGTCTGCCACTAAAGCTGCATTGTATTCTGGCTTGACTAACGTTGCTGTGAACAGTATGAAAAGGCTCTTGGCTAACCATCAGATTTTTTTTTGATCAGGACGTGGAAGCAACTATTCATTGTGCAGAGTGGCTAACGTTGAGCGGAGAACTAAGCACCGGGGAAAGGCGCCTTAAGTATGCACTTTCGACTCATCTTAATGCAGTTATCAAGTTCGTTTTGTGTAATTCCATGGCATTTAAGTGACACCGGTCTCTTCAATTCGCCTATCGTGTGGCAGTGGTATTATTGTGACTTTTAATTGTGCTTTCGCAGAAGGGAGGTGTATCTTCCAGTCATAAAACGCAAAATCTTCTGCAGTTTGCTCTCTTTCGCCTCTAACGAATTGCAACTGCAAGTATGTGCAAGCCTAGTTTTTTTGTTCTACTGAAGTAGATCGAGGATTGGTTTATTACAATTGGTGGTGCTATCATAGTTCTCTTTGAGTTGAATGGTCATCTTTCAGCTTAGCTACCGTGCACTTCTGTTGTTGAAAAGCTAAAATCTTGCGGCTCAACATAATTGGACCCATGGTTGCATGTACAGGAGTTGACCTTTGCAATTTTTCTCCAAGTTTTACTATGATTTTTACTTATGTTACATTCCTGTTGTGTATTTGAATAACAGACTCAAGTTGTGGCAGCTGCTGCCGCTGGCGTGGCGGCAGGAGGTTTATCTCCTCGCACAGCAAAGGCTGAAACTGAGACTGTTGCCTCTTTATCCGTGTCCCTGTCTGAGAACGCTCTTGTACTTTTGATGTTGGTCGAGGATCACTTGCGCCTGGAAGCACAAGCTTATCAGAAGACTCTTTTGACCAAGTCTGAAGCACCTGAGCGGTCCACTTATACAATTTCTCGCGGTAGTCTCGGTGGTAGCATGGAGAGCTTCGGATCGCGAAGTTTTGCTCTCAGTTCTGATTCACTTGAGCCATCCTTAGAGAAATCTCCGTCCCGAAGATCATCCAACTCTGAAATGGACAATATGTCCCTTGAGGCAACTTTCAGCTTCCCATTGATTCCCCTGAACATTGAAAAGTGTTGTATTGATCCTTAACTAGAACTCTCTATCTTTGTTCAGCTAGAAGTATCAGCTGAACTGGTCTTATTTACATGCACCTCATTGAATCGATCCTGCTGATTCCAATTTTGAAACCTGGATGGATAATCTGGCATAGTAACTATATTGTCATTCCCAGTAAATCTGTAGTGTGCGTGTAACGTAGAGCTGTAACACTTTTTCCATCCCTGCGACAGGCTTTGGCTACAACGTCGGATGGAAACGGGAAAATTTCAGCTACAGCTGTGGAGCGGTTGACAGCATCTGTAGCAGCTGAGCCGTATGAATCGGTCCGTTGTGCATTTGCATGCTATGGAAGCTATGGGCTTGAGTTAGCTCAGGGTTGGAAGCGCCGAAGTCGCATGTGGTACGGTGTTGGTCTACCTCCAAGAAATTGTCTTCTGGGTGGAGGAGGAGGAGGTTTTAAGGCGTGGTCATCTGGGTTGGAGAAAGATGACGATGGGCAATGGATTGAACTTCCGTTGGTGAAGAAAGCCATAACCATGCTGAAAGCTCTGTTGCTTGATCAATACAGTCCTGGAACTGGAGTTGGAGGCATTTTCGTACCTGGCACTGCAGGCTCTGGATCTTGGGGCTTGCAGCTTCCGCAACTATTGGACAGTGATCAACCCTTTTTTGCCATGCTTCGGATCACTCTACTAGCATTGAGAGAGGAAGATCAGGGAGAACCCATTTTTGAAGGAGGTTCGACAGAACATGATAAGAATATTGAAACTGTGCTTCCCAGCATGCGTAGGAGGTCTAAAACATCAAGTGGACAATGGAATTTCGGATCCGACTATTTCCAGGAGATCGCCACGTCAAATGCGAGAGGTTCACTATTGTGGTGGTAATTGCCTCTGCTACCGATTCATCATTTATTAAGATATTCTTTGACATCTATTTTTCAAGTAATACACTGCTCATGATGCTTAGTAGGAGCAGTATCCCTGTTGATTTGGTTCTGCATAGCCATGTTCGTATGAATAATTTGTCGGAGAGTTTACTGCATTCCACTTATGTATATAGATTTCATGGGGCTTTCTTTCCTGATAATGATTAGGCATTACAACGAAATTCCCATGAGGTTGTCAGTGTTAATGGCTGAGCCCTGGTTTTGCAGCGTGCTCGCACCACTCCTGACAAGGCAACTTTTCGAGTCACGGAGGCAACGAGTTTTGGTTGCTTGCTGCATCTTGTACTCTGAGGTAACCCCTTCTCATTCATTTGTGAAAATACTACATGCCGTATTCGGGTGCCAAATTTGTGACCGATGTCTTTTTACGTCGAAGCAGTAATCTGAATGAGCATGTTTTTACTTTCGCTTAAATTGTACAGAAATTATCACAGTCATTGCCCATAGTAGACATCAATGTCGCATGTATTTTCTCTAATATTTGCAGAACAGGTTTTCATGCTCTGACTTTTGCTTGATCCTTGTATGACTAGTTACACTTCAGAGTTTTTGTTCAAGCTGTGCACACTTCATCAAGGATAGCTGGATATATGCTTCATTTTACTTACCTAAACATGCCTTCTTGTGTTATGTCATGTGTATAGATGTGGCATTCGGTGAGTGAGGACAGGGATGTGCTACGTCAGGGATATATGGAGACTATTATACCTCCTTTTGCTGCTTTGCTGAGACGCTGGCGGCCTCTGCTGTCAGGCATTCATGAACTGACGGATGCGCAGGGCCAAAGTCCTCTTGCTGTGGAATATCATCATCTTGCCTCTGATATGCATCCTCTGGAGGTAGATAACCCACTACACCAAGTTTTCGCACTGAACCTGTTTCGACCCACTGGCGGGAATCGAATGCTATAAAGTCGAAGTACTGCATGTCGTGTTTCTGTTTCAGAGTTGGGGCTTCCTCATTTATTTGAAATCTGAGTGTAGAATCTGCTCTTCAATCACTTTTCTCATTTGAAAACGATAATGATGCTGTATAATGTAAGGCCCTGGGAATCGTTCCTGATGCCCTCAAGGAACAAGTGTTAATGAAGAATTTCTCTCTTCAGGCAGGTTTGGCCATGATCTCCCCAGGTTGGGCTGCTGCGTTTGCCTCACCACCTGCTGCAATGGCCCTGGCAATGGCAGCTGCTGGGGTAGGTGGTGGTGAAGGATCCCATAGAAGACGCAATTCAGAGTCAGATCGTTCATCTCCAAAGTTATTGAGTTTTCCAACTTTCAGTAAAGCACCAGATCGTGTTGAGGTGCCCCAAACACCAGTAGATATCGCAGCGAGTAAAGCTGCTGCCCTAGCGGCTGCAAGAGATCAAGACCGTGCTGCTAGAGTTGGCTCAGGTCGTGGCTTAGGTGCTGTAGCTATGGCTACAGCTGGGCAGCGAAGAAGCCTTACTGATAAAGAGAGAGCTGAACGCCGGAACATATGGGAGACTATGGGCAGTATGTGGTTGGATTGTGACAGTGTGGGGAATTCGGCTGCAAATAATGCAAGTGGACATCCCCATCGAATGTTTGGGATGATTTCAAGTATGTCGGAAAAAGCTCATAAAATGCGGTCAGCAGAGGTACTATTTTGTGAACATTTTCAGATGAACGTTGCTCCCTCTGGTTGCGATTTCCGAATGAAATAGTGGTGTTATCGGTTCTTAATGGCAATTTCTTTGTGTTTGATCAGGATACATCCATCGAGTATAAAACAAAAAAAGGGGTCTACTGGAGTGTGTAGCAGAGAGAATATAAATTTGACTAGTAGTAATACTTGGATGCTTGAATTATATTTGACACAATCTCCTTTTTATTGGACTATATATATGTCAAGGACATTATCATAAATTTTTAATTCTTCTACGCATATCTGTCTGATTTATGTGCTCATGTTTGACCCTCCTCACAGGAGGATAGACGTGCAACGATAGCTGCTACAGATGAATTCGACTCAACATTGGGCGATCGGGCTTGGAGATCTCTTTTACGGAGGCTGCAGGAGATTGACGCTCTCATTGGAACGTTTTGTAATCAATTAGGACCAAGTCGACGTGTATGTGTGCTCTCATCTTATTTTTAGGACTAGTTGATTTGTATTTATGAACTTGCTTTATGGCAACTAGCTTTCTTTTGGTTATAGGTAGTCATAGTCTATCTTACGACAAGTTCGCCATTGTTCAGAATACGTGCTGATGCCCTCCATTTTTTGTTGTTTAGCTTCTGTGGAATGGCATGCCAAGTTGTACGTGTACGCGATGCATGTGTTTTACTGGGACCTCGTTTGTTTTAGTGATAGTTCTGCAATGAGTTTTAACTTGTTTGTTTTCAAATCTTGAGCGTATATTGCTGTTGTTGCAGATCCTTTGGAAATTGGACTCCACAGAAAACTCCCTTCGCATGCGGCTGCGCTTGAAACAAAGCTACAAAGGCACAGATCATCATGGAGCAGCAGTTGATCATCAGGAATCTGGAAAGTCATTCCTACCCCAATCTTTAGGAAGTACTCCATTCCCTGGAGGAGGTCCCAAAATTGCACCGGAAAAGGATGCGCTTGAAGAATCCAATGAAGAGGACTTAAGAGAGAAGAAACAAGACCTAGAGGAGAGGAGTGGGGAGATGGACAAGGATCCTGCTTCTGAAACTGTGGTAGAAGACTCAATGTCTGATGTATCAGTCCCTTCACAGGTCACAAATGCTACTACTGTTTCAGAAGTTGCAGCGGCTATGTCCACAGAATACAAGGAGAAGTTGATTCTTGAGATCCCTGCTGCGATGGTTCTTCCTTTAAAGGTTCTGAGAGGAAGATTTCAGGTACATATTTCCTCTTAGCGCCCCCTACCGTCGTTTTGATTCATAGTCTTAAGTATTTGCCATTCTTGAAAAAATTACAGTAAGTTTCTTTCGATGCATGTGTGCACCATGTAAATGAAGTACTGCATTGGATTCGAAAAATAACCATGCAGCTGGTGATCCTTACAGTACTTTCTGACCTGTTATAGGTCACAACAAAGAGAGTCTGCTTTATGATTGATGATCGTGTCTACATCAACAAATCTGGTGTTCCAAGTGTGCTTGAAGAAGAGGATGATTGGGAAATGGTAGACGGTGGAGCAGAAGAACATCATGATGGAAGGGACCAACAACGTAAAGATGGTGCAAAAGACAGATTGTGGCCTCTTTCACTACTACGAGAAGTGCATAGCCGCAGGTTTGTGTATTTGAGGCTCTGTTTTAGTGAGTTTTCATATTTTGAATGATCGTCCGTAAATCAATCTCTGCCTATTTTTTCATTTTTATTCTCTTTTTAATTCTCCCCTTTTCTGCACTTCAGGTTTTCCTTAAAGAGAAGTGCGTTAGAGCTCTTCATGGTGGATAGATCTAACTTCTTCTTCAACTTTGGGGTATTTCCTATACTTACGATGATCATACGCATGTTGAGTATTCTATGGATTAAGCGATACTTACTGTGATATTCCTTTTGAAATAATTTGGAGCAAAAGCTTCGCAGCGCTGCACCCAGTGGTGATAGTGTGTATATATATATGAACGTCATCATATTAAGTGCATACCCTTTATACTTTACTGACTTTATTTTATTCTATTTTTCATTTTAAATTCCGTATTTCTCGTAGACTATGCATATAAGGCAGTTTCCTTGCTTCTAACCGAATCTGAATCAACTGATAATCTGTGCAGACAATGGATGCTAGACAGAGAGTTTACAAAGCAATTGTACAAGCAAAACCCCCTTATCTCGATATAGTATATGCAAGGACACAGGTTAGCAACTTTGTAACATGAGTTACCGCACAGTATATATCCTCCACTTATTTTTATCTAGATTAATTAGCTTATTAGATTCTACCATCATTTTGATTCATATTAGATGTCATATGAATCATTGATCTTCAAGAGGTGTGATGTTGCCAATAGTATTTAAGCAGTTAATCTGGTTGCTCTTTGTTGTTCTTCTGAATACAGGGACCACAGCAGCTATTGAACAGAACCAATCTAACTGAGCGTTGGGCTCGTCGGGAGGTATATCACTTTCACGAAGTAGTAGGTCAAGCAACAAAGATTTATAGGGGGGAAATATGTTTTTTTTGTGTACGATCAAGTTCTTTGAAATATTGTATTGAATGACAGTTTACTTCACTTCTTGCCGAATGGCCAATTCAGTTATTGATGTGTTATATTGGTTGCACAGATCACAAATTTTGAGTATTTGATGCAGCTCAATACATTAGCGGGCAGAACTTATAATGATATCACACAGGTATTTTTAATTGTGTGCGTCTCACGAAGTTGGATTCCACATAACTTATTGAGTAGTGGTAATTGTGCTCGAAGGTTGCTTCACTATGTACATTTTTCCCGCCAAGTTTTGAGTTACTATAACTACTCGCTGAAAGCACAAATTGTAAGTTGCTCTTTTATAAGCTTGTCGTTTTATCTAACTTTATGAACAGTATCCTGTGTTTCCGTGGGTTCTTGCTGATTATACCTCGGAGGAATTGAACTTAGACGATCCAAACTTATATAGGGATCTTTCAAAGGTATGTCTCGTTCTAATTATAGATTACTTTTATGTTTTGAAAAACTTGTCAACTTAATTTGTACCTAGTATAGTAAAACACTATGCTCTCTCTCTTGAACCACCTCTAGCTTGCGGTTGTTTGTGATCTAAAATGGAATAGTTTTGTTGCATCCTTTTAGCAACTTGCACTATAGGGTTAGTAGAAAATTGGAAAGATATTAGGAGTAGGGTTGAAACTTCTTGATGTCGTACTATCTGTAACAGCGGTTTGACTTCTGCGCTTTTATTGTAATGATTAAATTGAATGTGAGTGGGAATTCTCTTATTCAAATTTTTTGACCTGGTTACGATTTGGTGCCCAACCCTGACCTAAACGCTCGTCACGCATGTAGCCTGTTGGTGCTTTAAATCCTGCACGATTGGAGAAGTTTCTAGAAAGATATGACAACTTTGACGACCCTGTCATTCCGAAGTTTCATTATCATTCTCATTATTCAAGTGCTGGCACGGTTGGTAACTTTTTGCCTCTTTCCTAGTTTTCTAATGGGCCTAATACTGGTGCTGATACCGATCTCTATGCTCACTTTGATTTATATTCAACATGTAATGCATTTCCATTGTAGGTACTTTACAAGCCATTCAAATTGTCTGGATTGTGGAGCAGGTTCTCTATTATCTTGTTCGCGTTGAACCTTATACATCATTAGCAATTCAGTTCCAAGGAGGAAAATTTGATCATGCAGATCGTATGTTTTCTGATATTGGCTCGACTTGGAACGGTGTTTTGGAGGATATGAGTGATGTCAAAGAATTGGTATGTAATTTGTTGTGAACCGAGAGGTGTACAATATTGTGCAGATGTGTTTTGGAACCATGCCACTGTATTTCATTTTTTACTGAATAAGCTCAGTGTTAACTTTGCTGGATATTCTGATTCGTGTATTAATGCTAAAGGAATGAACTTGTGCATTTAACAGCTGTTCATTTTTTGTAGATCCCAGAGCTATTCTACTTGCCCGAGGCTCTAAAGAATGGAAACTGCATAGATTTGGGGCGAACTCAAAAAGGTGATAAGCTAGGTGAGTACAAATCTCTAATGGTTTTTTGACGTTGTTCAGAGGGCTGCTAAATTTTTCTGGATGCGTAATCGCATTCTATACGCCTGTTGGCGCTGTTATTGCCAAGCTTTGCCCGAATCTTGACAGAACCTAGCATAACAGTTTGTGTACAAAATCCCAGAATTCCCCAAGGTTTTAACAGTACTATCGTCTAATACTTTAAATGAAACTTTTAATCCTAAAGATATTAAGAACCTAATTACAAAGTTGTACAAAAAAAAAAAAAAAAAAAAAAAAAAAAAAACTGTAACAAAAGCCAGCGATTATCTAAACTGAAATAAATTAATTACCTAAAATGTTAGCTTCCAATTCGACAAGAAATGGAGTCACTACGGCATCTGTATTACGTGCCATTATAGCATCTAAAGTACTAAACAAAACAGGAAAATTGTTGGAATATCAAACTTGGAATATATTTAATGAGCTCTCTTCAAGCAACGAACCTTCTACATGGAGTTGGAAGAACAGTTCCGCTCATTTGTCGTATTCACTGGAAATCTACTGCTTATAGGTAGCATGATGAAATATAATTAGGTGTAGTTTGAAAGTGAAAATTTTAACAATCGTACTGAAGATGATTTTAATATTTTGCTTCTGAGTGCTAAAGAGATGTACTGGTAAAAGAATCTAACTTTATGTTCTCAATTGCTGATTAATTCGTTTGTTGATATGCAGGGGACGTAAAGCTTCCACCATGGGCCTCAAGCCCAGAGGACTTTATATATAAGCATCGCTCTGCTCTGGAGAGTGAATATGTGTCAGAGCATCTGAATGAGTGGATTGACCTCATTTTCGGGTACTTATCTTGCCAAATATTTCAGTTGCTGTTTGAAACGTTGGTTGATCACCGATTTCTGGACTGTGTTGTAAGTCTTATTGTAGAATCAAATTGAGATTTGTTATCGTTCTTTGTATGCCTTGCTTCTTACTCTTTACCCTGTGCAGGTGCAAGCAGAGAGGGCAAGCGGCCATATCTGCAAATAATGTGTTCTTCTACATGGCATATGAAGGCGCTGTGGATATAGATAAATTTACAGATCCGGTAAGGCTTAGATATTGTTTGATTGCAGGGTTTCTATTCCTAGATATCCCACTTTCTGGTGTAAATTTGATTTCTACTCAGCTGTTTGCCAATGACCTGTGATTTTGATATTATTTTATTTGTAATCTATGTTTAAGTTTTTTGTCCTGCGTGGCTTTACCCTAGAATGTTATTCTTTGGTTTTTGATGGTGTACCCATTCTGGTTTAAGTTGTTTATTCTTGTAAAATTGGTCGGTATGCTATGCAGATACTACGAAAGGCCACACATGAACAAAGCGCGTACTTTGGACAAACCCCGTCCCAACTGTTAACTATCCCTCATGTGAAGCGAATGCCACTAGCAGATGTCCTACATTTGCAGGTAATATAAGTTTGTTATTTTATTTTATTTCGTTTTATTTTATTTCAACGTTCCACTGATCTTGATATCTACTTAAACCTATGAGGCCAGAGGAACCTGAATGTGTTCCGTTTACTGAAATGAATATTACATTGTTGTACTCAGGGGATTAACATTACATGAACATGCTCATTTATACGAGTTTCATGTGCAGACTATTTTCCGTAACCCAAACTCATCTAAGGCTTACGCGATTCCTAGTCCTGACCGATTAAATCTACCTGCCAAAGAGCTACGGACCACGCATGACTCAATAATTACTGTTGACATGGAAGCCCCTGCCTGTCATGTAGCTGTGCAGAAGTGGCAGCCTAATACACCAGATGGTAGAGGCATGCCATTTTTGTTTCACCATGGGCGTTCAAAAATAGAACCAAGTAGTGGCTTGATGCGAATGTTTTCGCGGCCAACAGATGATGAGGAGAATCGTTTTCCAAGAGCAGTTGCTCTTCCTCCTGCGGGTGTGAAGCTAGGTTCTATTGTTGCAATTACTCCAGATGGGCATTTCTTATTAACAGGTCTGCACTACTTTCTGGGCTGTTTATTTGACTTAGATTTCAATAATACTTTTGTTTTCTCCAAGCTACTCCTGATTGGAAGATGTAAATTAAATGACTCATCTTTCAAAATACCTATCTTAACTTTCAAAATACTGTTGTTCATTCAAGTTTTCCTTTTCATAAAATGGTGTGTAGTATCTACCTTTTAATCGCGTGGAGTGACCGTCACGTAGATTTATGTCTTGTAATCACAACCTGCTATGAATTGTCGAATATCATCAAGCAATATAGCAAGATAAGAACCGTCTGGCTGTTGCACAAAATGGTTATGAGTTAGCGGCTGCTCACTGCTTTCGGCTGAGCCCTTCAGACAATATCCTCTTGCTCGCATTCATATTAACACTATGCTTGACAGGGCACACCTTTCTTTGCTTTAACTAGCTTAACTTTAACTTCAATATACTGTGTAGGTGGACATGCGGACAATTCTGTGAAGTTAGTGGCGACAGATACTGCCCACGCAGTTGGAAGTACGTCAAGCCATTGTGCTCCTGTTACATGCTTAGCTCTTTCTTCTGATGGAAGTATTCTAGTAACAGGGTCACAAGATTCTACAGCTTTACTATGGCGATTTCACGGAAGCTCGGCTACATCCACTGGTGCAGGGTCGACTGGTATGTCAGATCCTTCACTAGTAGCTGCAGCTGCAGGTGCATCAAATCTTGAAGAAGGGAATATAACTGCAGAATCGAGGAGACCGAGTTTGGAAGGACCTCTGCATGTGTTAAGAGGTCATGTAGATGAGCTGGTCTCATGCTGTGTTAATGCAGATCTTGATTTGGTAGTCACATTCTCTTCATCGAAAGGGGTGCTTCTCCACTCGATTACCAAGGGAAGATTTTTGCGACGGCTTAGTGTTGATAGGGCTGATCTCGTTGCATTGTCTCCAGAAGGTATCATAGTTGTTTTTGATAAAGCTACTAGAGTGCTTCAGAGCTTTACGGTGAATGGCACATTAATGACAGCCAAGCTGTTGCCTTCTTGGGAAGGCAATATTTCATCTATTGTTATCTCCAAAGATGGTTTACATGCTGTAGTAGGCACAAGCTGCTTACTTCCGGATGGCAGCAGGCCGCCACCTCGCCAAACCGCGGTAGATTCTAAATCGGAACGCTACGGTGGTCAGCACTCCCCTAAGTGGTCTATGGTCGGTGCATGTCCTTCTTGTGGGGGAAAGTCAAAAATGCACTCCGTCAACTGTAAGCTCTCAAGGGGTAACCAGCAACCGCTCTTTCAGGGTAATCAACATCCGGGTTTTGATGCTCTCCCTCGGAGTCCTTCAGGCTATCCGCGGTCTGATTCAACTATAGTTATGCGAAGATCTGAATCTGGTTTGATAAGATATTCTTCTAGCAACGTGCGCCGATCCAACGAGGCAGGAGGGTTGGGAAGTGGGGATGGGGGGATATCTACAGAATTCCAACAGAAACAGCAGATTGAACCTCAACCAGCTATTATCCTCCTCGAGCTTCGTACGCTAGAGGTTAGTGAATGCTACCTGCTCTCTCGCTTTCTCTCATTGGATTCACATCGTTGATAGAGTGCTTAATAATCTCCATTTTGCCAGGTCATTCAAAAGTTTATGCTTAGGAGGGGACAAGACATTACAGCTATGGCTTTGAACAACGATGACACCAACCTCGTGGTGTCTACTGCGAAGAAGCACCTGATTGTTTTCACAGACCCTTCAGTAAGCTTCGCTCCACATCCTGACTGAATGTATTTAGTTATGTGAGGTTACAGTAGAGGTTTAAAAACCCTTTGTTATGGTTCTTACTTGATCCTTTTAAATGTGATATTATTTTCTGCAATTTCTTCAGAATTGGTGTACGGTTGTTTTGATGGTTTTAAAATCATATGATTTGCTTCAATTGTTCCTTCTGTACTGAATCGGGTGGGGTGCTACTGGATGGTTGCAGCTGAGCATGAAAGTTGCTAATCAGATGCTGCGAATGGGTTCGGAGGGTGGAGGACTTGCAGGTTACATTTAAAAGTCTTCAAGTTTTTCCCCTTTTTTGTAGTTTATTTACTTTTTAGGAAACTTTAATCATTTTCAAAATGGTTCATATAATTTTCCAGTCAATTATGGATTGGGCACTGTTCCCACATTGAAACTTATTCCAGTGTGACGGTTCGGCTGATTAGTCGATTTCGTTGTGCTTAGGAACTGAATACTTAATCACTAGCCACGATGGTCTCATCGACTTATATTTATGTGACCTGGTCTTAATGATCAGACAAGTAGCAGTAGGTTTGTTTATAGACTTGCGCTCGTTGTACTCCCCATAGCTACTACCATTGATTTGGTTTTGATATTGTTTGCGTCTTTACGTAGTTAGTTGAAGATTTCAGTTCTACGAACTCCCAAGCGTTACTTAGAACAACCTTACAGTGATATGGATCATACGTTTGAGATGTGTAGTAAAGCGTGAATCTGTGCTCATCACATGTATCGCTTTCTCAGACTTGTATTCTCTGCTTTTTATTAGTTTAGTCTTATCTGTAAAGCTTATGGCCTCAAATACATTTTTTTTGGCAGCAGTTTCAAGCCTTGTAAAGAGAGTATTGGCTCCTAATTTTGAAACATCTGAAGCACACTAATCAAGTCCAAAACGTTGAAAAATAATGTTGTTAAATTACTTCGCAAAGAAAGCACCTTAAAAATGTTTTGAGTATAAAAATTTGTTACAACAATTGTACACAACAATTTCCCGGAAATGCTGAATCCTAGTTCCACTTATAATGAATGCTGTTGCTAATCAGTAACCATCACTTTCCCAATTGTGTTTTAAATGATGACTAGTGACAGCCAAATAAATTCTTCACTTGGAAGTGCTGGCCTTCAACAGGTCTTGTTTTAAAACCAATGTAAGCACACCCCTAAATAATCATGTCCTTTCCAATTGGCAGTGATGTGGATCATAACTGCTTCACCGAAGAATGAAGCATCCAGACAACTTGAAGTTCTCAAGCAATTGCAGCAGCTGAGCCAGTTCGAACAAAGTTCATGTGAGAAAGGTAGCTATTCTCGAGGGATATATTTCCTTTGCCACTTGAATCACGTCGGTCTCTAAGTCGCCCCTTCCCAGATGGATCCTGCAGACCGCGATGAAGTCATCAATGTCACTCCAACAGGTAGCCAAAATGAGACACTTTAGAAAGAAGGGTAAATACAGAATTAATCAGCAGAAAATATAACCAGTTTACGTCTGAAAGAATACCTGTAGATATTCAAGCATTTGTTGCTCGATGGTGCCACGCATAGCCAGCGTCTCCACAAGGACAGGACGAGTAGCTCCCATACGATGGGCTCTACTCACAACTTGCTCTTCCACGCTGTGACCGAGTGAGCACAACCATTATCAGCCAAATGGATAGCATAATTGGGGCCCACCCAGCATTAGACGGAATGATAATGACTTGGTCAGCTATTAGAGAAGAACTTGAGGAGCAAATGATATACAGAATTCGCTCAAACTAAAACTTGCAGCATTACTTGTCAGGATTGAGCTTTCCTTCCTATGGGAAGCTCAAGCAGCGCATCGTATGAAGACATGGATAACCGCGACGACATAGAATAAGATTACTCCCTCACCTGCCATCCCAGATGGGTTCCATCAGGTAGACGTGGGTCACAAAACTCAAATCCAAACCCAGAGCAGCAGTCCCATCCATCACTAAGACGGTGCATCCAGGGTCCTTTCGAAAAGTGGCGAGCGATTTCATCTTCATACAAGCAACAGATCAATTCAGATACATAATTCTCTCTAACACAAAATCCCTATTTGTAAGAATCAGTAATAGGATTAACATGGTGAAGAATTACTCAATTATGTACTAGTTGTGATTGCTACCAAAGGTGTTTTCTTGAAGCGCAGTTACGGCGGAAAATAACTCAACTTTTGAGTAAGAGCGAAGTGTCAGTTGTTGGCCAAGGTATGCAGAAAAGCTATAGCACGAAAAAAAAATGCGAATTCGACGAACAAAGTACCGAAACTGCATATCTACGGGACATCGTTCAGGATTGAAATTGGAAAAAAAATTCTGAAGCACGGAAATATTCATTCAGGAGTCGATCTAGACCCAACATACCTTGTTCATTGAATGCATCGGACTGTAAATACCTACATGCTGAATCCCAGCTCCATTTAACTGTATAAAAAATCAACAGTCAGGTAATTATCTACAATTGACCAGATACAAGATCTAGAAGTACTTTCTGAACCTTACGTCATAAATCATCCCATTAGAGCAGCAGTATCAACAATGTTCAAACATCTGTCATCAGTACTTAGCTTAAGCAATAACATAAATATCAGCATCACTAATTAAGTAGAACAGAATCGACTGTAGGGATAAAATCTTCAGAAGCCCAACCTGTTCCTCTATCACATTAATGTGTTCAAGAAATTGAGAAAAAACAATCGCCTTGCATGGTAACGAAGAAGTTGATAAGTTACGTGACGAAGTCTGCCAAATCATAGACTTAAGCTCATCAGGCATTGTCTTCGAGGTCGTGTCCGACGGATAATGCTGCATCAGGTTGTTATCCTGTATAACTTTCAATTGATTGACCAAATACGCAACCTTACTACTGGACGTCGCATGCCAATCAGGGTCCCAATCGTCCTGCCACACAATCAAAGCCTCAGAAATGCAAGAAGACAGAGGACAAAAGTCATTTGAACATGGAACGTCTGTAACATGCCAAACTACCTAAAGCGTCGTCGAAGTGATAGTACACATGTAATTCGGATTTAATGCCTCCGCAACCTTGAAATCCACAACGCACCTAAATTATTACCTGAGCGTATGATGGCTGCAACTCAATGAGATCCTGCGGCACGGGCCACTTTGGTGTTGGATTTTCAGGACGAGCCAATTCAGCAGGACTCTGCATCTTGTAAGGATGCCCACAGCCAAACAGTGTGCACTTCTCATTATCGAGAGCAACGCATGACATGCAGAGCAAATGGCAGCATGGTGTAACGATAGGTAATTTGCACCACACCTGGCATCTGCAAAAGAATTACCACCAAAATCCAATCAATCACCGGCAGAGTTTCAGTACAGAGATGTAAGCAGGACGTTTAACTCCTATATTCATGGACAACCTATTAAACAACTAAATATTTTCATGCTCTTTTCCGAACCCATCGACACTAATTTTGCTCTGCAAGTATAGAAATGTTCTGCTAAATATGAATCTTATTCTTTACGCTTATCTTACCAGGAAGTAACCAAGGCAAAGACATGTCGTGCAGATCAGGTGAAGTGTTTACATGATCCAGCAAATACATAAAAACAACTCTTCTAGAAGAGAGCAGCAGTATGGTATACATCAGAAAGAAATTGTAGTTAATTGAACAAAAGATGAGACGTTTGAACTTCACCAACCTATCGCAATTCCCTCCGTGAATCAGAGCAGTCCGAATCTTGTAATACAAATCTGATGCATGAACCAGGCCGTAATCCGCCACAAGAAGATCCATTGTCTCATCGACATCATTGCCAACAATTCTGACCTTGATATGGCCTGCAACACAACATGACAGTCGAGTATTCCGCAGAGTTGAACTTCTAAATTTCCACTGCTTAGGGTTGAGGAGGGACTCTACGTGAGACGGATCCCTCCAATCAGCGAGCAGAATGTTCCTCTGTACTGTAACTACCAGCTCATTATAACTGGCAGCATGAGCCTCAGTAAAATTTAGAAGTGTAACCTTCCTTATGCAAGGTGGAATTGTGCACAAATCTGCCTTTCTTGAACTTATCATTGTTCTATGAAGCAGCTGGACAAGGCGAAATCGTCCCTCTTCACATCCAGCTTCAAATGGTCTCAGAATAGCGTTGTCCCACAACTTCTGGTGCTTGCTGTAAATATTTTCATGAAGAAATTCCAACATAGGTCGAAGATAAGCAGCTTGGCTACTGGGAGTATTAGGGGTAGGCGTCCCTGTCAAAATCCAGCGACGCGATGCATGCAAAGATTTTGCCATTTGTAGTTTATTGGTTAGACTGAGACTTGCTCCCAACGTGTGACCTTCATCAAGCATGATACGTAGCCAATGGATGCGCATAAGAACAGAGTTCTCTCGTATGCTCCACTCACTGCTGAGGCGGTGAAAAGTAGTGATTACAATATCATAGTCCCAAGCCAACGTATGCGCAGCCGCTGGCTTCTTATGATCTGTCCAAACATACACACGAAGCTGGCCCGGGGCTGTATGTTTCGCAATTTGGTGCTTCCAATGCTCAACCAAGCTCTGAGTAACCACAATCAATGTTGCTCTTGACAAATATAACCGAGTGGCATCATCTTTGGGTTTGCGTGCAGCTTCTCCTAGTGCTTTAGTATCAAAGAGCAAGCCATCCAGACCTTTCGGATAAGACCATTTAACAGCTCCCTTGTTTTGTTTCTTCTGTTCGAGACCAAAGAGCTTAAAGAGAGTGTCGCAACTGCTGTTCTCACCCAGGGATCCCTCCCCCCTGGCTTCTCGAGGGATAGCCAAACCCACGGTTGCCAACTTGGCTGATTTCTCAGGGTTAAGACTTGCAAGCCATATCACAGGCCGTCTAGCACATTCGTCATACAGGTGCGCATTCGTTTTCAGCACACTTGCAAAAAAGGCTACATTCTGTGGCTGTCCTGGAATAGTTCCATCCTTGTAAAAACCTGGCAAACTCTTCACACTCGCATCAGCCTCGATTTCCTGAGGCACAGTGCAGTTCTGGTAGAGAGAATCTGGATTCAAGCTACAAAACCATGCGACATTACCCTCTGGAGGCACAACTCCATTAGGTAGCTTGCGCCACTTGGAACATGCTTCACACTGAACCCACGTGAAGTTCAGCCATGTCCAATCCTGAATCAATTCCTTACCCTTCTTAAGGGCACAGTGTGATCGTGATTGATCTGGTTTTGAAACAGATGGAGGGATGATTTCCTCTGCTATGATTGGTGATACCAGTTGAGATCCACTAACTGAATAAGTCTCTGAACCCAAAGATTGCCTCCCACTCCGAAGTCTCTTCCTGCCCCCCGAGTTGCCACCTGAGAGATTGCCCCTTGAAGCTAGTTCGAAACTTTCACCAAGTTTACGCTTAACCCTAATTGAACTCCTCGTGGATACACAGTTTGTCTGGGCAGGTAATGAGGTGGATTTTTCCCGAGATAGGCTTGTTGACCGCGACGCAGCTACTGAAGAGTCTAGTAGGGAACTTTCAGTCGCCGAACCTGGTCTGCTCTTCTGCCCGCGATCGACTTCGGGGGCAGGCAATAATGACGGAGTGGGTACATCTTTCGCAGAAAAGTCAGAAAATGCCACAAATTCAGAACTCAATCGACGGCGAGATGAGCTCCCAATTTCATAGCCATAATCTTCATTTCTTCGAGCTTTTAAACACATTGACCTTTTCAACGCTGAACCACCTAGAAGTGACGAACTTGCATTCACTTCGTAGTATCCCATTCTCTCACCCGGCCTTTGAGGTACCCAAAAAACCTCTGTATTCGCAGGAGCATCGGCAGTCATACCTTGAGTCTTCAAAATGAGAGATAGCGCAGTGACAGTTTTTCCTAAACCAGGCTCGTCACAGAATAGTCCTCCTCGAAAGTCATGAACTTCTGGAGGTTTCTCCGGAGATAGCTCACCTGATACAGTATCTAGGTAGAATGGAAAGCCGTCTTCAGTTTCCAACTTTTTGCAGAGGGGATGCTCAAGTACCTGCGGGCAACGGCATGAAACAATACAGAATGGGATCAAAGCAAACGCATATAGCGTGATGAACTTCAAGGTTAATCTGTAGTCTTATCCTCGTAACCAAAGAAACTTACATGGTCTCTCCAAAAACCTGAATAGACATTTTCCTTCAGGAATCCTTTGCATTGATCGCCACCGATAACAACCATACGGAGGATTCCTGAAAGAAGTACGCGGTTCAGTTCATAAATGCGGACCCTCTAAACAAGAGAAACGGCATACTTCGTCTTGCCATAGGTCCATGCACCTACCCCTGGTCTATTTTCTCGTTGTAGCATCCAACGCACGGCAGCTTGCTGATGTGGAAAAAGTCGTAGATGCATGCAAGGTATAATTGGCACTGCCATCAAACGTGTGTACCGACACACTGCAGCGACATTGTGAAGATCCTTAGGAAGTAGTCGATTGAGGATTGACGTGATAATTTCGTCAGGAACATCCCAGAGTCCCGATTGTTGACCCTCTACGGTCTCGTCCCGTAGAAGCTTTAAACCATCGGGTCTATCATCAGTCTTGTAAGAAGGCAAAGATTTAAACAGCGAGTGTAAGTCGAATTGGGCCTTCATTGACTTGGACAGCACCTGGTGCACTTTACAACCAAGCACGTGGCAGCCACCTTGTTCCCAAACATTGTCTGACATGACAATTTCTTCGCGCAAACTTAATTTCATCAACAGCGCCCTTCGCTCCTCCCAATCACAACTGCATGATTACAGCAAAGCTCATAATAACTCGTAGGCTCTGAACCATCCTCAATTTCAACTAAAATGAGTCAAAAGTGTAACGGCATGCTCAGCGTATATTGTTATTAAGCTCCCGCTTGGTCACCGGGATCAAAGCATGACGATGAGCCAGGCAATCATAGGTCTGGGAATTAATTACAAAATGAAGCTGAGCATTCCCAAGCCTTTTTGAAGACAGAGACGGTCCGAAAAAATAGCGATTATGGTTCTAAAATTTCGATTAAGACACTAATTTAGTTCAGAATTTAAAGAACCTAGAATAGACATGCCTTCGCACAAGCCAGCGCCGCATTCAAAGATTCAAACCTAACTGACCTCAAGTGCGATAAAGCGGCAGCAGCTGCGGCACCTGACTTCCAAAAGACAGCTCCCATCCAGGCAGAAGGAGGCAAATAAAGGTCTAGCATTGCAAGCACCCGCGTCTCATCACCCTTGTGAGCGATTGTCAGGACACGCCCATGCACTCTCGCATGGTTTTTCGCCATAACCCATTGGAGCTGATGCAAGAAAACCTCTCCAAGCCCATTTCCACTTCTCAGAGCTCCACATCTTCGCTTGACACAATTTCCTGACCCTGCTGCACCAGACTGTGTACTTTCCGAAGCCAAGTCATCTACAGTGGTGTCATCTGTCTCATTCTCACATCCATCAATTCGCTGTGAACCTAAATTAGCCACCGGCGAGCTTTCCGTCATTGTTCTTTCGCCTGATACCAGGCTCTGACCTCTTGCGTCCTCAACCGGCAAATCCTTCCCTTCAAGAGGCCACAACAACAACCCGGATTGCTCCACACGCACGCACATGTTGGGGCCCTTGCTTTGCAAACTGCATTCCGCCCCTACCAGCTGCGCAAAACCCGAAAAACTCCGTCCACCACTGCGCTCCTCACCCCCTACATCCGCAGACACTACAATCCCCGACAATTCCCCTTCCCGCAAAGCATCCGATCGCATTTTCAACACCACGATCGCGAAACCGCACAACCTCATCTCATGCAGCTGGTCCTCCCACACAGAAGATAAAACACCACGCTCCTCTTCCGCCATCGCTCCACAACTCACAAAAAATTTACCAAGAATACTACATCAAAATTCCTTCCCGCCTCAATTCCAACATAACACATGCAAATTTTTTTCACAAAAGCCGTGAGCCTTCACTAATCGAATTCGCCAGACACCTCCACTTCTGTGATACGCCGCCAATCCCCGGCTACAAAATCCGGCCGCGCCGTCATCGTACTGAACATCATCACCTCTAATCCTCACACAACAAGGACGCCTACATAAGTCGGTGCACGCGATTGTGTTTCGGGCGAGACAAAGCAGCGCGAAGGTAAAAACCCCAGCCAGGGCCCAACTTTCGTGACGAGGCTCCGTTGAGATTTTGTTAGGGCTGGAAGGGGATGGGGCCGGTCGGTACGCCTCAATTCGTTGCGACCTATCGTATATATGAACCTCGGCGTATTCGTATCCTCGTTTGTAACGTAATTAACACGGTATCTTGCCTTCTGAAATTAGGAATGAGTTGGGAAGCTTCTAGGTAATAGTGTCAGTGTGAACAGCGCCCTCAATGATTAGTAATGATGAATTTGGAGCTTTTCATCACGAATTAAAAAAACCTTCGCTGGAATTATTATGATCTTAAAGGTAAAATGTGAGTAAATATATTCAAAGAACATAGAATGAGATGTTTCTTTTCATGCATATTGAGCGCTTACATTTTGGAAACCTTCTTTTCTTGTTTAGTTTTTTTTTCTTTCTTGTATATGTTTTTAAAAAACCTTAACCTATCAATCTGTATATCAAAACCTACAAATCAATCTTTTTCATATAAGATTTATAATGGATTGTATAGATAGATAGATAATTGTTAACTTGACCTCAAGGCACAAAACTACACACCTATGATTAATCCAAGGTTTTTTTGGTAGATTGGAGAGTAAGATATGAAAGCAAACTTGATGAAAAAAAAATTGAGTATTAATTTCATGTCAATTGAATTAATATTGAATTTTTGAGGGATTTCCAAAATTAATAATGTTTTTGGTTGTTTTAGATTTTGAAAAATAAGAATATGTTTATAAATTTGAAGGTTTCTTGAGTTTTGTGGTGTGTGTACAAGTGAATTTTAAAAAGTATGTTGCTATGCTAGTTGTGAATGTGTGTGCAAATTTTAAGATAAATCAAATAGTTAGATCAAAGTATGTAAAGATTTTTGTGGCTTGAGGTCCCAAAAATTTACAAAAGTATTTAGAAAACATAACAAGGCATGATAGGCAATAACAAAGATTTACTCATCATATCAAGGATCACACTTTACATCAATTTATGCATCTGATTTTAGGCAATTAGCTTGTCACATTAATTGGAATGAATAAGCTTTCGTGAGTCAATTCTATTGAGAACTAAGAGACAATATAAATGACCTATTATTATTATTTGATTCTTAAACACTCAATGAAGCCATCAACCAAGCTATGAAGTTCAATATTTGATTAATTCAATATTATCAAGTTCAATGCTTGTGAACTTTGACAAAGCAACATACTAAAAATTTGTACTTTATTGCTTCAATAAATACATGCTTTTATATTATGAAGTTGAGGATATATAAATTCATGTGGTAAAATTCAAAACTCTTGTAGTAGAAAAAAAGAAGCATCAATTTGAATAAGTCCTATGCTTGCATTGTTGTGAAAGAGACTACAAATTTAAAAACTATCCAAAGAAACAACATACAACTAGGAATAAAAGTATACTCATTCAAAAAAACGAAGAGGCCCAACTACAATAGGGATTGTGTGGCTTGACATTCCAATACCTCAAGTTTATTAAGGTCCATCTTTCTTTGTCCAATGTACTTTTGTTTTATTATACTTTTATTATTTGGCTTATAAAAACATCAAACAAATGCTTTATTAGATTCAAGAGAATTTCTTTGCTTTATAGATGAGAAGTTTATCAAACTTCATAAAACAAATTTAGTACAAAAGTCAAAACTAGTACATGTAGAAATAATAGATGATCAACTTTTATCTTTAGATAATATAATTCATGAGATTATAGCACTAGAAATATCATTTGAAGGCTATAGTAATAAAATAATATTTAATATTATTAAAATCTTATCCAATCTTATTATTTTAGAACTTTTGTAGTTGAAAAAATATAATCCATCTATAGATTGGAGGTTTTATAAGATTCAATTTCCTATAAAAATATTTTCGGTGAAACTTATCAAGACGTCATCAACTACAAAGTCTTTATTTCTTGGAGCAAGGACTTTTATAAAGATAGCCAAGAAAGAAATATCATTTATCATTTATGCAACTCCAATTCTTGAAAAATAAGCTTACTAGTCACAATTATAGAGCGGTATAAGGAATTTTAAGATATCTTTAAAAAGAAATGATGACATATTGTTAGACCATTAATCATATGATTGTGCTATCAATTTTCAAAAAGGGACTCAACTACTATTTGGCCTAATCTATAATCTATATTAAAATGAGCTTTCAACATTGAAAGATTATATCAATAAAAATCTTGCAAAGAACTTTATTTTATATTCCAAATCTCTAATATACGAATACTTTTTGTGAAGAAAAAAGATAGATCTTTATAAATGTGTGTTGATTATTGTGGCCTCTACAAAATTAGAGTAAAGAATTATCATCCATTATTATTGATATTAGGACTTTTGAAGCAACTCCGTCAAGCCAAGATCTATACCAAAATAGATCTCTATAGAGTGTACAATTTGCTATAGATTAAAAAAAGAGATGAATGAAAGACAAAATTTTGGACAAGGTACGGATACTTTGAATACAATGTCATATCTTTTGGATTGAAAAATGCTCCAACTATATTCTAGTATTTAATATTTTTTTTTTTTTGAAAATTCTTTAAAAAATTATTATTTATTATCTTCATGATATCTTAATCTATTCTAAGACCTTATAAGAGTATAAAAAATATGTGAGATTTTTCTTGCAAAAATTATAAGATGAAAGATTATATACAAAATTAGAACTTTTTTTTGGTCCATTAACAAGCTTTTAAGATTTAAAGTCAAATTTTATTATAGCTCAAATCTTAATACATCCAAATTTTATAAAAGCTTTCTATTTGAAGATTAATGCTTCCAAATTTTCATTAGGAGCTATACTATCACAAATAAAAAAATGATAGAAAATTCTACTCAATTGTATTCTATTCCAAAAAGTTTTCAGATACGGAGATCAATTATAAGATTTACAATAAAGAACTTCTTAAAATTGTAGATTCTTTTCAAGAATGGCATCACTTGCTATCAAGGACATAAATCTCAAAGAAAGAAAATCTCAATATACTCAAAAAGACTAGAAAATCATTCAAAGATGATAATATATTGAACTAAAATAGCTATTGCCAAAAAAAAAAAAAAAAAAAAAAAAAAAAAAAACTTGAAATAAGACTAAAGTTTAGAAAGGCATTGACAAGAATAAAGGTTTTTTCACTCTTGCCTCCATATATACTCTCTAACTAGGAGCTACATGGCAATATTCTATAGGACCTCCAACATGTGTTGACTATGCTCGCCACATATCTTAACTTGTAAGGCAAGTTATCTATGTATGTACCACATAGTTAGCTTGTTTCACAAGCTACTATATGGAGTTAACTTGTTCCATAAGCTACCAACATCTAATTAACTTATTGGCCAAGTTTCTAACCTATAAAGACATCTAAAGTCAAAACTATGTCTATGAAGCTTCTAAGAAGCTTTTCTAGAAGATTTTATGAAATTAGCTTATATTCGTCTACTTCTATCTAATCATAAAAGTAACTATTGGAATAAATTTATATATTTCTAATATTATCCTCTCTTTTAGGAACAAGTTCTATAATGAGCAGTGTCATGATATAATACAACTAATATATGAAAGAGTGTAGAAATTATTATATTATATAAGATCTTAGTTCAAAATATTATAAAAAATTATCTTAAAAATATAAATAATAATCAAAAGGATAGTAAAATTAAAAAGTAATAAGATTGCCTTTTATAAAATGGACTTCTATTTACTTTGTAGGACCATAAATAAAATAAATAAAATAATTAAATAATATGAGCATATTTAAGAAGAAGTTAAGATTATATTTTAGCAAAATTTATTTCAAGAAGCCAGGAATTGATACTCAAAGAAGATCGATTGTCAACCTCGGTTGAAATCAAATCCTAAGGTACAAAACCGCACACCTATAATGATTCCAAAGTTCTTTTGGAGATCAAAGAATGGGATTTGATAGCAAACTTGATAAGATTTTTATGAAAATTAAATTTTTGTGATTTGGATTTGTAATGACTTTGTAAGAGCCTTACAAAGTTAAGTTTGTTTTAGATGATTCAAATTTTTGTGAAATAAAAGAGGGTTGATATTTTGAATTATTTTAAGAGTTATGAAGCAAATCTACAAGTGAAATTTTGTAGATCATGATTATAATTGTGCTTAATATGTATTAAAATTTTTAGCTTGATCTAATGGTTGAATTGAGGATTTTCAAGGTTTAAGTAGATCAAGGTCTTGAAAAGTAGAATTTTAGATCTAATAAGGATTTCTAAGTTTTCTTGCAATCTATTTGTTGGATTGTAGTGAAAGTTATGTGTATAGGTATTAGACTTATTTTTCTATATATATAAAAAATTTGAGATCAATTTAATAGTGCAAAGAAGAAATATTAGCATTAGAAGATCAACATCAAGATTGGAGAAAAAGGGTGGCCAACATCCAAGCAGATTTTTAGATTTTTCTTCCATTTGGTAAGTATAATTTTTTTCAAATTATTTGTATTTATTTGTAACTAAGAGATTGAAAGGTTTATAAAATTTTAAATAAGATCAATGGTTTAATTTAAAGATATTGAGGTTCTAAACTATATTAAGATTTGGTTTAAGATTTAAAATTGGTTAGGATTTGATTTAGGATTTAAGGTTTGATTAAGATTTGGTTTAGGATTTAAGATTTTATTAGGATTTATCTAAGATTTGGTTTAGTATTTAGAATTTGATTAGGATTTGATTAGGATTTGATTTAGGATTTAAGATTTTTCTAGAATTTGATTGAAGTCTATTAGGATTCAACTTGAATTAAATTAGAACTTAATTGAGATTTATTTAAGATATATTGTGATTATTTTAATATTTTTTAGAACTTCTTAAGGATTCTTTTAAGATTTATTAAGGATTATCTTTTAACTCTTTTAAGTTTTTTTTATTATTTCTTTTGTAATTTCTTTAAGATTTCTTTTTGAATTTAATTAAAGCTTGTTTAGTATTTTTAAGATTTAATTAGAATTTATTTAATATTCTATTAAAATTATTA